ACGTTCGATTTTGTAATCTAGTTATCTGTTGACTCTATGCTCTTCTGCAGTGTCAAGGACGTGGATGAGAACAACGTGCCTGGCCGTTTGGAGTCCGCCCGGACGGATTTAGGAGCATGGATGCTTGGCGATCCATTCATTTCTCTGGTAAGTCTGAGTTCATAACATCGATTGCTGACATTCTTCTTTACAAAAGCATGCGAGCCATGACATAACGAGTGCAGATAGTTATCGGTTCCCTCCTTATTGCGATTAGTCTGACTGGCGTTGTTGGAGCTGTTACAACGAATTCTCAAGTTCTATTCGGGTAAGGCTTGGCGTTGATGGACCTGGTACTGCAATTCTTACCCCCCACCCAAGCTATAACCCTCCTTCCTTCTGCAGGTACTATGCTCCCTCATTTGTCATGGTGGCAATTTTGATATACCTTGGTTGCTTCTGCTTCATCTTCGCAGCTGACGAGGTACGTTTAATAAATGGCGCTGGTGTTGTTGAGCCTCCATTTGGATTTCCTCCTCACCCTGTTCTTGGTGTTGGATATTCGCAGAGGACGTATTCCGAGATATTGGAAACGTACGTTAGCACAACAGCGCAATCAGCAATGGACCAAGTGTTGCTCGCAAAGGTATACGGCCTTTTTTTTTCTCTTTATCTTGAACTATGCTTGACTTTCGTGAGTACGCCTCGCAGACACATCGCGCTTTGATTGAAGGAGGCGTTCTCTCAGTTTTGTCCTCCGTCATGCTCGTTCTTGGCCTCTGGATTTCATCAACGTTAATGGGACATGGTGAGTACATGCTTTCTTATTGTGTTTGATTTTTGGTCCGGCTTCTTGTGACTATGTGTGTTAATGCTTGTCCTTTTTTTCAGAATATGCTGCAAAACAAATGGCGATGAGCATGAATATTCTCACCATGGTGTTTGGAGCATTTATTCTGTATCTATCCATTGTTACATCCCAAGCCCACATTGCGTAAGTTTCTGAATGAAGTACCTCCGTGGGTGCGTAGCAAGTAAGCCTTGCTAAACAATGACGCCCCGTCCAATGCAGGGGAGCCTATGCTGCCATTATTGTAGCTATCGTGGGCGCCTTCACTGTTCTACTTTCCGTTGTTGGTTATTTCGGCCTGGCAAAGAACAGCAGGTTCCTGCTTGTCTTGCACTCGTTCCTTCTTGCGGTGAGTAAATCCTGTTACGTTTGGAGGCCATCGTGTTATTGTGTCTGACTTTTCTCTCGTTTGGTTCAGGTTCTGTGCCTTCTGCTTTTCATTGGAACAATACTATGCTTTGTCCTGCAATCCCAAGCGGATTCATACATTCAGTCTCACTGGGATCTGGTTACAACGAAGGTATATATGAACTTAATGTTGTGCTATCGCTATATCGTATTTTGCACAGTTCACTGATCAGTGTGTAAGGATTGGTCTTGCAGGTGGCTCACATTAGCAAGGAAGAAGCGTATGCGATTGTTGGCAACCATATGGTGCTGATTGGGGTAAGCTTCTTACCATCATGGCTGCTTGAGATACTTGTCATTTTCTTTTTACACCATCTCTTCCTCCATCGCAGGTGGCTGCCATTATCTTGTCAGTTTGTCTCCTTTACAACCTGTTTGCATCGATTTTGACGCTTTACAGCAATTGGAACAAGTGGAGCATGAAGGTGAGTCTGTCAACACTGGCAAAGGCATTGCTGTATCTGCTAGGGTTGAACACTTGCATCAATATCAGCTGTTTCTGCACCTATCTGCAGGTGAACAGTTTGGAAGCTGACGAATCCGCGTTGCAACGTTTTGTTTACATGCGTCGTCGTTCGAGTAGCCAAAGTTCTGATGGAAAGCGGCAACGTGCCAAGCCTAAGAAGCAACAGAAAAAACGCCGAGAGTCTTCTGAAGAAGATGAAGATGACAGTGATTTTATTGAAGTCCATCTTTCCGAAGATGAAGACGAGGAAGGCAACAGCAGTGTTGTGGAATCTTCAAGTGACAGTGATGCGGATTCAGAGGCTACAAATAGGAGGAAGGAGTCCAAGAGGAGTCGAAAGCAGCAGAAGCAGTCTGGCAAGAAGAGCTCAAAGAGGACAGGGAAAGATGACCAAGATGGAAAACGGCAGAAGACACGTAGAAGAGAACGGAAGGGGAAGAATGCTACTGAGACTGACTCTCCAGCAGCAGCTGTGCCCACACAACACCGTGATGCAGAGAACAGTGCATCAGAGTTATCACAGTCTGATCTTGAAGCATCTTACAAGCCCAAACCTGCGGTTTCAAAATGGGCAGCTGCTGTGAAACCAGATACTGCACCTGCTATGGAGAAGGCTAACCCCAAGACCCCTGTCAAGAGCAATGCCAAGAGCAATGATGCAGAGCGCCATCCAGGTATAATGGCTCAAATTGAAATGTTTTGGAGGTGGATAACTTGGCATCCTGCTTCGCAAACTCCTTCAACCCCCCCACTCTCTTCAGGTGGTTCAGTCAAGAAGACAGAGAAGGCTCTTGAACCAGAAGATACGCAGAGGAGGACCAGCAATTACTTTGAAGATAGTGATTAGCTTCACATTTGTTGTATCAAGATCCCTGAACTCACTGGAAGAGTATGCATCCCGTGCTGGGCGAAGAGTAGAGTGATTCTGTGTACGCATCTGTAGTATACACTGAATAAAGGGTAATATATTTACCACTGTTTCATTGCAAGACAGTGAAGATTGTACTTCGAATTCCCTCACCGTGGAGCTCCACCTAGATACTGCTATTGCTCAAGCCTGCTTGCCCTAAGGGCGTGTAACTTTTTTCCGGACCAACGGTCCGGACCACATGCGAAAGTTTTCGTCCAAGCTCGCATGTTCTCCAATTCGATAACGAGCTCAGACGGTCCGGACCATGAGCAGGATACCCTATTCGCATGTCGTCCGGACCACACGGTTCGGAAAACAGTTACACGCCCTAGCTCTCACCTTGAATTTTGGCTGAAGTCAAGAATCAAATACCATTCACCCGACAAACATCGACACACATCTTTCGTCTCATACTAATCCTGTTTCCGCCATGCCACCCCAGGGCCGGCTTTTAATCTCATCTCTTCGTCGCGCTAATTTATTTCGCCATGATTATCGGCACGCGCTTGGCTTAGAAGCATGTCGCCAGACCCCTTTCACTGCGCAAGCCACACGGTCCCTTGCAGGGCCGGCCGCCACTGGGAGTTCAGCGTCTCCGCCGCGTCTGGTTCCACCTTTTACGGAAGAAACGGCTCTTGCTAAAGTCAAGGTTTGTTCGATCCCATACGCGATACCCTGCGAATTTAGGGCTGTTCACCTCTCCTCCCTCCCTCGTCTTCCCCACCAACTTCCGACTTCCTTTCTCTCCTCTGCCCATCTCGGTCCCCCATTCCCCGTTCCCCGTGCGTCTCCAACGCCGTTCTTCCACGTTCGACCTTCCGCCCTACCCCCTTCCCCGCAGTTCGCGGAGGCAGCGTGGAACAGCCGCGACCCGGAGCGCGTGGCGCTGGCCTACACGCCCGATTCGCAGTGGCGCAACCGCTGCGATTTCTTTAGCGGGCGAGAGGAGATCAAAGCGTTTCTCCGACGCAAGTGGAGCAAGGAGCTGGACTACCGTCTAATGAAAGAACTCTGGTGGGGCAGGGCGGGTGATAAGAAGATTCAAAGGGGGGGTGCTGGGGGGAGTTTCAGATTAAGAGGTGTAAGAAACAGAATAGAGTAGCCCAAGTGTATGTATGCATACAGAGGGAAAGGTCAGGGGACAGGGACGCAATGAAAGAAATAATGGAGAGGGTGGGGAAGAAAGGGAATTGGCAGATATAGGTATGGCTCGTCTTTCCCCCCTTGCATCCGTTCCCCTCTCCCTGTTGCATGGAAGGGAGGGAATGGAGCTGGCCATATCAATCTCCTTTGAAACCCACTCCTGAAGTCCTTAAAGTTTACTGCTGGGAGTTGCACCAAATCTTCACGGGACAACCTCCCCAGAAACAACCAACACACACACACACACACACACACACACACACACACACACACACACACACACACACACACACACACACACACACACACTTGCTGCCTTTGGACCTTGTGCTTCTTCCCCGACCTTCCTTTCCCAGGTGCTTCACTGAGAACCGCATTGCAGTGCGATTCGAATATGAGTGGCACGACACCACGGGGCAGTGGTGGCGCACGCATGGAAACGAGGTGAATAGATCGAAGGACTGGGGTGGATGGATGGATGTGTGGATGGATGGGAGGGGATGAAATGAAGGCCTGGTTGCAGGATAGGTTCTTTGGTGTTGTTTCCTCACATGCCGAACTAATCTTCTTCCCGTGTGTGCGGGTATGTGCATGCACGTGCGGTTATCCATGCATGCGTGTGTGGGATGTGTTTATGAGTATCTGTGGTCTTTTGCTGCTACAGCTGTGGGATTTCACTGACGAGGGCTTGATGCAACGCAGAGACATGTCCGCCAATGGTCAGATACTCAAATTTCTTTGCTGAGCTGTTTTCCTGCATGATTCGCTCCTTGACTTGTATTTTATTCGGTTTCCATTTCACCATACTGTGTGTGTTGTGTACCTTTCTTTTCCCCCTTTTTACTGTATGCCGTGAGCCTGCATATCATTCGTTTTTTTTGGAACTGTTGCTGTGCATCCGTCTTGCCAATTTCAGACTACCCGATTGAGGAGAAGAACAGGCGTTATCGTTTCGAAAGGTAGTAGTCAGTTGCTGATGCGTTGACTGTTTGGATTGGAGGCCATGTGGTAGGTAGTAGGTAGTATGCCTCCATATGCCTCATGAGCATCAGAACATAAACTATCTATTGACTTTATTTAGGAACATGAATGGTTTATTGCCAATATCTACAAGAACCAATCAAGATGGTGGCCATATCGCCAACAAGGGTCATGATGAATGACCCTCGGAGCATAACACAGCACCTTATTAACCACTGGTTCCTTAGCTGCTTGGTAACACCAACCCCCACATCCCGTCATCCTCACTCCAGTGCGCTCCATCCCACATCCAGGTCGTCCACGCCTGGGAAGCTTCCCACCAGGTCATCCAGATAGTCATCACCGTCCAGCAGAGACAGCGATGGAAGATAGCCTGCAACATGCAAGAGACGGGGAGGTTAGCGTCAAAACAACCAATGAAAGAGACTGAGCCAATGAAACTAACACTTCTTGCAAAATCTGTAATAACGTGACCTACCTCCAGGAGGTGATGGCATGGGGGGGTCATCCATAAGGGGTATCATGTCTGGATCCTGCACATTAGAAACGCATGCACGGGGTCAGTTCACAAGTTCACATGGATTCAAGCAGGCGTTTCTTTCTTGCTATTCAAGTCAACAAGATCGAGGCTATGAGGTAAAATATGTACCTTTTGTTGCTTGGAGAAGCCATAAAGGCATGGAGGTTCCACGCGGATGGACCGAATCATCTCAACGCGCTGACGAATTTCTGCAAGACAACAAAAACATCCCTGTTAGACGAATTGAAAATGTAAGCTTCTAAAGTATCATTTGAGCTACGCAAACACTTACCTTCATCAGCCTGAGCCTTCAAGGCTGCCGCGTAGCTATCGCCACCCATCGGCATCCTCTCCACCCCATCAGCTGCATAGAGCTCCGCCAGTGCGTCTATGTCGTTCAGCGCGATCAGCTCCTGCTCAGTCTTCCCCTTGGTGTCCTTCGCAATCGCGAGACCCTGAACTGCTGAGCTCATCTTCTCGACTTGAGTGAAAGGCAGCGGCAATAAGACATCAGAAACTCCGTTGGCCTGCGTGTTCTGACCTCCCTTCAGAGCCGACCCGGACAATTCCTTCTCCCGAGTCTCCTCTTCCAGCTTAAGTCGACGGTTTATGGACGGTTGAACCTTCTGGGTGGTCTTGGCCTTCTGGGTGGTGTTAGCATTCAGGCTGCCCGAAATCGGCTTCTGGATGGTGTTCGTCAGGGTGTCTCCGAATCTGCGCTTGGCAGCTGGCTTCATCTGAGTCGCCGGATCGTTCTCGTTGGTGACGTCCCGCAGAGCCGACCTGCTTCCCTTAACCGTGGTTAGAGGGGCAACGAACATCTTGGAAACTGGCGTGCTCGGAACAACGCGGTGGGAGTTTAGGTTGTTCCGCAGTTCTGTGCCGAAGGCACGGACGGAACTCCCAGGAGCAACCATGCGATCCTTTGCGCCGAGTCCGAATCCTGAAAAACAAACAGCAGGACGTTAAAGGTATTTTAAGGACAATTTTTCCTCGAACGATACGTTAGACATCAAGGTCGCCTCACGGCCATCCGAGCATCGGATACAGAAAAAGGGAAAAACTCACCCCCAGCAGGACGAGGCGTCCTCTCGACAGCAGCTCCTTTATTCCTAGCGCCATGGTATGGAGTCCAAGCGTTCTCATCGCCAACGATGTTTTCTCTCTGAACGGTCCTCAGTGCAGCCATCGGTAAATGTAATCAAAAGAACGAGGGGCTCAGGAACTGTCGCAGAACCCTCTGCAACCCGGATGCGTGGATGGAGGTGCTACGTCTGCTACGTAAAATGTTTCAGCTTATGTAATGTCTAGTAACGGACGACCTGCCAGGTTCCGGAATGCCTGACTATTGATGTAGTATGAGCGATGAAGGTCCGGTTGACTGGTCGAATAAAAATAAAAATAAGCAGGAAATGCCTTTGATAACCGCTGTCTAAGGGTTGTCTGCCTTGACCTGATTGATCGTCTTTGGCTTGCCTGAAAGAACAAAACCTAGATAAACAAATAACCAAGGAATAAAAACAGCATCTTGTTTTCTGGATGATTGCCTGAATGATCTGCTTGGCTGAGGTGAGGGAGTGACGGTGGCGGCTGGGGTGGTTGCTAGAAGAGGGAAAGGAAGAGTGAGGAAGGAATGAAGGTGGACGGACGGGGGATTTGGTTCAGAAGGAGGTGTCAGGCGGGCAGAGCTGATTGACGGCGTCACAGCAGGGAAGCGCGCTGAGACCCATTCGAAAATGGGGCGGGAAAAAACAAACGGAAACAAGGCTGATTGTACTCGTTGTTGCAAGAAATCACAGATTCGCAATTTGGACAGTGTTCGTGAAGTCAGTTGCGACTGTGGATGTATACACATTTATAGTGTACTTGCATCCTTCAACAAAAAAAGTGTTAGTGATGACAGCATTGTTATCGACCAATAATATCATATAATTTGCGGAATAAAGACCACTCATATGTGGGTAAATTTAAGCCAGATTAATTCATATTCATAATAAATAAAATAGCCATTTTTGAAGGGTTCAGGGCTTTGTGAATATGTATGTACAAGCGCACGTTTATGCGGAGGCAGTAAAAGTATGGTAATGTACTTTATCGAGTCATTGGCCATTTTGAATCCATTCACAAATCTCCCGCCACGGCTCTTCACACACGGGAACAAGCTTCAAGCTTCCACTTATGATCCGCTTTTCTTCCTTTCATTGACCCTCGCTGTTTCACTTTCGCGTTTCTCCAGTTTCCCGTGGTCTTTTTAGGCTCGAACCAGCATGCCATCCCCAGCGCCTAGCACAGGGCCCACGTCTGTCCCTGGTGGTGACGCCTACAGACGGCAACGTGCTACAGCAGAGTACAGCTGCCAGGTGCGAGTCTCTCATGTCATCGCCCGTCTCGTCTCGTCGACAGTGATTATACAGAGCTTTGACGTTGATTCAGTTTCGGCTGTTGATAAATTTGCCCGGATGTGTGCTTGTGTGTCCGTACGCAGGATGATGCCCCCTTTATAATCACGCAGCACCGGTACCGCAGCCAGCAGTTCGCGTCGCTCTACTTCTCCCGCCTCGCCACGCTGCGACCCGTCCTCCTCGCAGCGGCGCGTCAGAAATGGCCCCACCTGCCAGGTGCGCGTTTTCGTTTTTTTCAAACGTCTCGAAGCTGCGATCAGCCTGCTGCCTGCCTGCCACGTGGCTGATGAGCACGGTTTGGTCTCTCTTCTCGTTCCCTTCCACTGTGAGAGAGAGGTTACCCCTTACATGTGACATTTGATAGGTGTCCCCTGACATCTCTCCTCCTCTCCTCCTCTCCTCCTCTCCTTTCCCCCTCTCCTCCTCTTCTTCCCTCCTCCTCTCCTCCGCTCCTCCACCTTTCCTCCCCTCCTCCTCCCCTCCACATTTCCTCCCCTCCTCCTCCCCTCCCCCTTTCCTCCTCATATGTGCCATGGGGGGTTGTGTGTTGCACCGTGTGCAATGCAATCACACCACGTGCAATACAATCACATCACACGCCGTGCAGTGAGCAGTGTGTTGGATCTAGCGGACAAGGGCGAGTGCGTGGTGGTGGGCACTCTCTACAAGCAAATGAAGCTCAAGCCCAGCATACTGCAGGACTACGGCCGAGAGGTCAGTCCGTGTCCGTCACTTACTAGGTGAATTTTGAGTGGACTCAAAAGTGGGCACTCTCTCTCTACAAGCACATGAAGCTCAAACCCAGCATACTGCAGGACAACGGCCGGGAGGTCAGTCACTCAGTCAGTCACTCAGTCAGTCAGTTCAAAGGTCACTCACTCACCTACCCTTGCTCACGTTTCAAAGCTCAAGCCCAGCATACTGCAAGACTACGGCCGAGAGGTCAGTCCGTCACTTACTTACCCTTGCTGCTTCTTCTCTCTTCCCCACTGCTCTTCTATCCTCATGTCCCTTTTTGTCTATTCTGTTCCGGTGTTTCCTCTGCCCGGCCCTTCCCCTCTCTCCCCTCCGCCCCTCCCATTCCCGTGCCTCATCTGTACACCAGCTGAGTTCCCTCCTCTTCCCTCCCTTCTTAAGCTTGCGACTTTCCCTTCTCTCCCTCCCGTTCCCCTCTCCCCTGCACACGCTCGTGACCGACCCTTATACCCCTTGTGCCCGCCACAACCCCCCTCTCCCCTTCCCTCTCCGCCCCTCTCCCCTCCGCCTCTCCCCACTCCGCCGCTTCCCCCCTTGTGCCTACCTAACAGCGCGCCAGTGCACCGCTGGTGGCGGTGGGGGGCGGCAGTCTGGTGGGGGAGGACGACAGCACGGTACTGGAGGACGAGAGGGGGCGCGTCAAGCTCGTTGGGAATGCATTCCTGCCCGCTGCCTGGGTCACAGGTGCTGTGCGGTGGAGAGTGGTGTTGTTGGGTTTGTGGGTGGTGCTGTGGGATGCGGGTTGGTGGTGTTGCTATAGCATGTGGGGGCGGTGGGGGGCGGCAGTCTGGTGGGGGAGGATGACAGCACGGTACTGGAGGACGAGAGGGGCCGCGTCAAGCTCGTTTGGGATGCGTTCCTGCCCGCCGCATGGGTCACAGGTGCTGTGCGGTGGAAGGTGGTGCTGTAGGGTGCGGGTTGGTGCAAGCTCGTTGGAGACGCCTTCCTGCCTGCTGCCTGGGTCACAGGTGCCACTGGTGGCGTGGTGCTGTGGGTGGTGCCGTGGGGTTGGGGTTGGTGCTGTGGGGTGGAGTTTGGCATTGTTGCTATGTATCCCATCCGTCCGTCCGTCCGTCCGTCCGTCCGTCCGTCCGTCCGTCCATACATCACATCCGTGTTGCCTCTCCCCTCTCCCACCTCTCACCTCTCTCCCCTCTCCCACCTCTACATCAACAGGCGTGGTGGTGGCAGTGCGGGGTTGTGAGGACAGCAAGGGGAACTTCCGTGCAATGGAGGTGCTGGAACCAGGCATGCCGTTGCAGGATACCTTCCCTGCTGCTTCTGCCAGTGCCAACACGGCCGCTGCAGCCAACCAGGGTAAGACACGTGGCAGCACACTGCACTGCACATGGGACAGTGTTGGTTGAAAATATCTGAACAGCAAATATGCTTGCCTGTCTGCGAATCTTGTGGGCACTCGGAACAAACGAACGGCCTCTCTTCTCCCTCGCAACCTCCTCTCCCTCCTTTTACTCTCTCCCCACCACTCTCCCTCCAATATCCTATCCACCCTCCTTCCTCTCTCCTCTCCCCTCATTGCTTGCTGCAGAACTCTCTTTTCTCTCACTTTCTCTTTTCCTCTCCCCCTGTTCCCAACCTCCTCCTTCCTCACCCGCACTCGTACTCACCAACTCCCGTCACCAACTCTTTCTGATCCGCCAACTCCTCTCCTCACCTCCTCTCATTTCCTTCCTTTCTCCCCTTTACTTCCCACTTCTTCGCCTCCCTCCCCCCCCCCCCCCCCTTCCCTCTCCCCCATTCAACTCTTCCCCCAATCCTCCCGTTCCCCGCTTACCAGCACCCCCACGCTACGTGGCCTTCGTATCGGGTCTCCACCTCTCCGTACCCACCACCACCGCATCAACCACTGCAGCAGGCGCCCCGTCGCCCTCCCCTCCGCCTGCTGCCACACCGCCATCGTCCCAGGGGCGGGGCTCAGAGGGAGCAGAGGAGGGCGGAGGAGACGCCATGCTGCATAAAGAAATGCTTTTGGACTTGCTGTCAGGCCACGTGCACTCGGATGAGGTCAGTGGTGGTGTGGTGCGTGTGCGGGGGTGGAAGGGGGTGGTGTGGTACCGTATGTGGGGTCAGAGTGGAGGGAGGGGTGCGAGGGGGGGTGGGGGGGTTGAAAGGGGGTCAGACGTGAGGGAGGGGTGTGAGATGTGGTCCAGAGCGGGGCTAGACGTGCTCCCATACTCTCTTGCCCCCCCCCCCCCTTCCACGCCACTTCCTGTGTTGGCCTTTTTTTTATTTGCTTGTTTGTTTGTTCTGTGTTTTTCCCAGGAGGAGCGATTGAGTGCGGGGATAGTGCGCGTGGTGATCGCAGGGGACTCGTGCTCCTTCTCCCACCTCCCCCAGTCCCTGCACGACACTGTTAACTCCACTGTACGTGCTCACTCTCCCTACCCCTCACACTCCCTTTTGCATGCTCACTCATGCTCCCACCTCCCCCAGTCCCTGCACGACACTGTCCACTCCATTGTATGTCCTCTTGTAAGAGAGATTTCTTAGAATGCTTAGAGGTGTATTTTGAGGCGCCTCAAAATCCGCGTGCAGTGAGGTGTATTTTGAGGCGCCTCAAAATCCGCGTGCAGTGAGGTGTATTTTGAGGCGCCTCAAAATCCACTCCATTGTATGTCCTCTTGTAAGAGCGATTTCTTAGAATGCTTAGAAACCACCTCCCCCAGTCCCTGCACAATACTCTCTCCACTGTAGGTGCTCACTCACACTCACTCACGCTGTCACTTACAATCCCTCTCACACACTCACGCATGCTCCCATTCACAGACCCACTCACTCGCACGCTTTATCCCACTTTCCCACTCTAGCAGTTCCTCCCCGCTTTCCACTTCCCACCTTCCACTCCACAATTTCGTCTTCCCACCCCCCTCTCCCCTGCATGTCTTGCATTTGAAAAAAAGGCCGACTGCTTCGTGATTTTCCACCCCTGTCCCCACCTGTTCCCACAGCCCGCACCTGCCCCATCCACTCAAATCGAAACCCTACTGCCTCGTGTCTCTGCACCTGCTCCCACGAACCCACCCTCCCCCTCCCCCCCCACCCCTCTCCCCCCCATTCCCGCCCCGCCAGTCTCTCGCACACCGTGATGCCAAGGCCATGGCAGCACCAGTCAAGGCTCTTGACACTTTCCTGTCCGAGGTCAGTTCTCCTTGTCCTGCTGTCGCTTGTCCTGCTCCAAGGACACCCCCGTCCTCCCCCCCCCACCAAACACTAAACAATCATTCCTGAGTCGACTCAAGAACCAGGAACATTACTGTATTCTAGGTGACTTTTGAGTCGACTCAAAAGTCACCTGAGTCGACTCAAGAACCAGGAACGTTTCTGTATTCCTGGCTGCTTTCTTAGGCTTCTCAATAAGCAAATCCCTTTTTCTGTGCTTCTCGTCCTCTCTGCCTTGGAGCCCATGTGAATCGCATTCTCTTGCATCATGCTGCACCCTTCTCCATCCAACTACTCCGCCCCCACTCTTCTGAGTCGACTTCAAATCCCTCTCTACTTCTCTTCCCCCCATTCCTTCCCCTGCTCCCCTCTGTCCCCCACCCCACGCCAGCTCTCAGCGGCAGTGCCTGTGGGCATCATGCCGAGCGCAAGTGACCCCGCCAACTACTAGTCCTGAGAGCCCCTTGCAAGCCCTCTTAAATGAAATGATGCCGGTGCCATTCTTCCTCTGCCTCTCACTTCCCCCCACACCCTCTCCCAGCTCTCAGCATCAGTCCCTGTGGATATCATGCCGGGCGCCTGTGACCCCGCCAACTACTCCCTGCCGCAACAGGTGCGTGCAGTGGAGAAGGTGCAGGGGGGGAGGAAGGGGAAGGGGAAGGGGAGAAGGTGCATGGAAGAAGGTGCAAGGGGGAAGATGAAGAGGAGAATGGGGGTGAAGATTTTGGGGGAAGGTGCCTGGGAGTGAGTAGGAACAGCAGAAAAGCAAATGGGTTTCTCTGTGAGGGAAAGGGGTGGGATTTGGTTGGGTGGTGGCGTAGAGTGGGGTCGAAAACGGTTTGAAAGGGCAGTAGTGTGAGTCATGTGATAAGAGAGGTTTTAACCGGGAGCCATGTGTCTGTGCCTGTCAAAGTGTCGTGTGTTTCTGCTATGGTAGGCATGCTGTATCTGAGCAGATCACGGACACATCGGATCACAAGCTCATCCTCCTCTTCTTTCCCCACTTTCCCCTTTTTTCCTACTTCACCGCGCCTACCCTCCCTTCCCCCGCCCCCTCTTTACCCCCTTCCCAGCCGCTGCACCCGTGCCTGCTGCCCCAAGCCTCCCGCCGAGCCTCAGTGGTGCGTGCGACGAACCCGCACCACTTCACTCTCGGGGGGGTGCGGTTCCTGGGCACAGCCGGGCAGAACATTCAAGACATGCGCCGCCTCTGCCTCACTCGCCTGCTCCATGCGCCTCCCCCTGCTGCTGCTGCAACTGATGCTGCTGCTGGTGCTGGTGCTGCTGTAAATGCTGATTCTGCTACTGCTGCTGTTCCGATGGAGGGGGTGGAACAGCAGGAGAGGGAGAAGGTTGGGAAGGGAGATGACAGAGAGGAGAAGGGGGAGGAGGCGGAGACGGAGGAGGAGGAGGAGGCGGGTGTGTTGGATCTGATGCAGCGATGCTTGGAGTGGAGACACGTTGCTCCCAGTGCTCCTGACACGCTTGGTGAGGGGAGAACAGGGGGGAGTGGTAGAAGGGGAGGGGAAGAAGGGAAGGGGAGAGAAGGGAAGGGGAGAGAAGGGGAGGGGAGTGAATGGAAGGGGAGATGAAGGGAAGTGTGAGAAGGGAAGGGTGAGAAGGAAGGGGAGAGGAGGGAAGGGGAGAGAAGGGAGGGTGAGATGAAACGGGGAGTGGAGAAGGGAAGGGAGAGAAGAGGAGGGGAGAAAAGGAAAGGGCAGAAGAGGGAAGGCGTGAAAGGAATGTCTCCATGAATCCGTTCCTTGTGCGCATGGAAAAGAGAACAAATCGACCAGCCAACCCCTCTCTTTCTCACCACCATCTCAATTGCCTTCCCTTGAACCATCGTTCTGGCTTTGCCTGCCCTGCTCTGCTCCTTGCCCTGCTCCTCTCAGGCGTGTACCCGTTTCAGCTGGACGACCCCTTTGTCCTCACCACCTGCCCACACGTTTTCTTTGCCGGCAACCAGCCACGATTCGCCACGCGCCTTATCCGAGGTATGGGGCAGTCACAGAATCACACACATGTGGGCAGAGAGTGAGTTGTTCATGAGGCAGCTCAAGCATGCACATACCCTATGACACACCGTATCAGGCATATGACTTATTGTTGGAGCGATTTGTTCCTGATGCATCTCCTACGGTTGCGCTGTGATGTATCTCTCATCTGCTGTACTGGCGTGCTGCTGTGCTGTGCTGTGATGCATCATCTTCTGCTGTGCTGTGTGCAGGTCCCCAGAAGCAGCTGGTGCGGCTGGTTGCCATTCCAAAGTTCTCTGAGACATGTCAAGCTGTGCTGGTGTGTATGCGTGCACGTGTGTGGACGTGCGTGGGAGGGAGGGTGACGTGTGTGTGTGGTTGAGTGCGCGTGCACGCGTGTGCATGTGCTGCTGTACGGCTGTACGTGTGCTCTGTTGTGTGTGTGTTGTAGCTTCCTCGCCTGTATACTAGCACCTCTTGCTGCATTTGTTTTTCACTATTCATTTCACAACCTGTCTTTCATGCTCTAGTTCTTTCTCCCTCCACTTTCCTACCCCACGGTATCTCCAATCTTCCTTTTCCTTCCTCATCTTCCCATTTTCGAATTCCCCATCTTCCCCAACTTCCCCTTCCTTCCGCATCCTCCTTGCACAGGTGGACCTTGACTCATTGGAGTGCCGAGTGCTCTCGGTCGCCTGCCCTCCCTTCCCCTCCTCACCATCACGTTCCTCATAGTGCTGCTCGCCCACCCACCCAATCTCTACTGTCGTCCATGTCACCGACTCACCGCTCTTCTAGTTGTACAGCCAGCCAGAATTCTGATATTGCCAGTTTTGTTGATATTTTTAACCATCGATTGTGTCGATAACTTTGCTCAACATCTAGTTTCCATTATGCTAGTGTGAGGAAGCATTTCAGATGCACCAATTTGCAGACGCATGGATGTGTAAATGCCCCGCCCACTTCTTACATTGGTCCGTCCATTAGGGAGCCCCTTTATGCCTAACATCTACACCTACCGTATAGGCACATACCTCATGTATTCCATAGGTCCTTTCCAAGATAGAATTTTCACTTTGCATTTTCAATCACCTTAGCTGTCTCCGCATCCACAACAATTTCGAATGGACGAACTAAGACTCACAAACAACCTACTATGCCGTTTGATGGGGTTTTTTTTTTTTTTTTTTGCCTGTGTTCAGATATTATCATTTTTTTTACGAATGTAAGTAGGTTCATAAATAAAAGAGCTTGGTGATTTATTTACATGATAGCATTGCCTTAATCAAGTGGAGGTCAAGGTTTAGCAAGGTATTTGTCAAATCAAGTTTCTGTAGGAGGCAGTTGTGGTAGGAAATCTAATAGACCGTACAATCGCATTTCAGCACTTTCAGCAACCCCTATTTCCTGCCCCTCCCCGGCCCTCAGTGAGCTGAGTGTGGATCATACTGTTACAGTATCGCCGGCCCCAGATCGACACGACACTCTTCTCAATCAAGCACCATGTGTACAGTACATACCTTTTCCTTCCACCACCGATCACCGTCGTTTCGGCCACTCGGGAAGAAAAGTGCTTCTGAACGGGTTTTCCTCTCGTCATTGGTCGCAAGCAGGGCTATTTTTTCGCTTGTTGGGTATTGAGATGACCCCAAGTCTGACACTTGTCCAGGCCAGGGCCCAGGTTGCGCCACCAATCTAGGTCTACGTGTAGGAACAAAGTGGCAGGAAAACAGGGTCCCAATCTCAACTCACTGACGGTCCGTCTGTGTACGGACACTACGGCGGAGAAGAAGCTGCAGGACATGGTGAAGCTTGAAAACTTCACCGTTCTGATACGGAGTGAAAAAGTAGGACCTTCGTTCTGCACTTGCGGTGCGAGCACCTTAAATTGACCGCATTCGTCAAAATCTGGGGAGAGGCGTTTGTCCGTCAGTAGAAGTGGAGGCGGTCGTGCGGCGTGTCGTCGCTATCTCAGCGTCGGAAGCCGAACAGCCGCGTCGCAGGCGTCGCGAAGCCGAACAGCCGCAACGCAGGCGTCGCAAATCGAATTAGCCGCGTCGCAGCGTCTCTCAGCGCCGCTAGGGAGTTCACAGTAGGGAATTCTCAAGTTTAGACCGTCAGCCGTCTCAAGGTCACACTTTTTCGTCCCGCCGACAGCTGTGCCGGCGTTGGCGCCGGCGGCGCCAGCGGAGCAGCGGCGGTTTTTGAGTCGACCCAATATTTGCCGGCGGCGCCGGCGGAGCAGCGGCGGTGCCACAGCCAGGGCCCGCCGAGCACTTCTCATCTGCGTAAAAATTTCCGAATGATCCCTAGTTTCTTCAAAGGAGTCCTCTAGTTCCCGGAATTCTTTAATTCCCTCCGAGCTCAAGACTGTCGTGCGAGGACAACGGACAACGTCCGACTCGGACGACTTAGAGAGGCGGCTCTTCTAAGGCAAGACTTGAGCACGCGAGATCCCATCCCACTCGACGAAACCCTCTTTTTTTTCTCCTCGTCGGCGGTGCCTCCTCTGGATTTTCTCCCACGTCCTCGTCGCCTTTTACGTGTTTCGGGGGTCTTGCTACCGCCGCGAGAGGCCTGTGTCGTCAGTAGCAGCAGCAACACAGCAGCAGCAGCAACGAGAGCATCGACAGCGACAGCAGCACCCGCACCAACAGAAGTTCCCCTAGCGCCACGAGTAGCAGCAGCGGTATCCGCATACAAACCCCCATGGCGAGTCGCGTCAACCCCACGGCGAGTCGCGTCAACCCCAACATAGCGAGTTGCGTCAACCCCACGGCTGTCGCCATGACCATCGCGGTCGCCATCGTCGCCCTCGCGGTGGTCTCGCCTCTTCCCGTCCTGCCAGGAACCCATGCGGCCACGGTCTTACCCTCTGAATGTAAGAAGCTTTGATCCCCATGCCACCTACCCTCGCTCCTCCATCCCAAGATCGGCCCTCTGAGAGATGTGCTTCACTGCGTCCTACAAAACGAGTGGGACACGTGGTTCCAGGAACGATTTTGTAGGAAGCACGTGTCGTGGGACACGTGGTTCCAGCCCAGCCCTGTACCTTCCTGCGTCCCTGTGAGAATCGTTCTTTGTTTTTTTCTCCATTCCACCCTCTCCCCCTCTCGCCCTCTCTTCCCCCCTCCCCCCTCCCTTTCTCCCTACCCCACTCCCCCCCCCCCCACCCCTCTCCCCATCCCCACGCCAGTTACGGTCCTGCAGGCGTTGAAGCGAGAGTGGGGCGCGTTCAACGGCAGTGAGACGTGGACGTCTAGCACTGACTGTACCAACGGTGACATGAAGGGCGTTGCCTGCAGTTTCTTTGGCGAGATCTATGCTTTGTGAGTGGATTCTCATCTCACTGACCCCCTGTTCTGTTGAACTGATTCGACTCAGTGACTGACTCCCTGTTTTGGGTTGACTCAAAACACGACTGTGCCAACATGAAGGGCGTTGCCTGCAATAGTTTTTCTTGCGGCATCTTTGCCGTGTGAGTAGACTCACGGACGGACCCCCTGTTCAGTTGACTACTACTAAGGCACCATAGATAGTTCTGTCGGCTGCTTGTTCTGTTTGTGCACCATTTTTTTTTTTTTTTTTTCCGGTATAAAAACCCCGTACAATGAGTCGATTTTCGAGTCGACTAAGAAATGTTTTAGTCAGCTAAAAAAAACATGTTCCGTACATTATTCACATAGGCCCTAATGCACCGTTTCGCCTCATGGACCTCACCTCGTGCCTGCCTGCTCGTTTGCATGCCCCACGTGCTCCACGTGCTCCACGCGTGCCCCGCATGCTCCACGTGCCCCGCATGCTCCACGTGCCCCACCCCACGTGCCCCACATGCAGGGGTGTGTTCAACAAGGGTATCAAAGGCAGCATACCCACCAGCATTGGCACCCTCCAAGAGCTGCAATTCCTGTGAGTGGGTGGGTGGGTGGGTGGGTGGGTGGACCGTGGCGTGGATTACTGAGCCTAAGGCGTCTATTTTAGAGGCGCCTCAAAGGCAGCATAGCATACCCACCAGAATTGGCACCCTCCAAGAGCTGCAATTCCTGTGAGCGGGTGTGGCTGGCTACGAAACCGACTACTTCTAGTAACCGTGGCGTGGTGGATTACTGAGGCGAGACGCCTCTCAAAGCGCGGGCGCGCGCCCGCGTGCGCACACACATGCTACATTGCATTGCATCGCATCCCTCCTTGGGCTGGGTGTTTTGTGAGTTGGTGTGGCTACCGATTACTAGCCGCCACCGCTGTGACCGTGTTTTAAAGCCGTTGGCCCAAATTGCACAAGTTTTAAAAGGTTGACGGGGAGGAAGTTTTGTTTTTGGGGTGTGGCGATAGGTCCTATTTCGTCAAATTCGTTTTTTTCGCAACACACAGCCAAAAACGCGTCTTCCCCCTGGTGGGAGCTCGAAAGTCCCAAATTGCAACTGAACTTCTTTCAAGTTTACAAGCTCCTCACCGTCAAGTTTTAAAAGATTGACCCACGCGCCTCGCAATTTGGGACTCGGGCTTTAAGTCGACTGGAAAAAAAAGCCTGGGCTTTTCGTGACTGCCATTGGGCTCACAGCCGAGTGGGCTCACAGCCGAGTGGGCTCACAGCCAATTGGCCAACTGCCAAATCGAAGCACATCCTTCCTCCCATTGCACCCGCTGCACAGGAACCTCGCCAGGAATCAGCTTACAGAGGCCCCATTCTCACCCTTGTTCGGTTTTTGAGTCGACTCATAAAAGAAGAGGAAAACCCTCCTCTCGTCCCATTGCTTCCCCACCACAGGGACCTATCGGGGAACCAGTTTACAGCCCCCCTCCCGTCGTTCTTTGCCAACCCTGGTGTTGACCTTTGAGGCGACCTCCTCTCCTCTCCCCCCATTGCGCCCCCACCACAGGGACCTGTCTGGGTATCAGCTTACAGGACCCCTTATCGCCCTTCTTTGGTTGATGAGTCGACCCATTAAGAAACAATAACCCTCCTCTCCCCCCATTGCGCCCCTCCACAGGGACCTGTCTGGCAATCAGCTTACAGGCCCCCTTCCGTCGTTCTTTGCCCAACCTGGTGTTATGAATCAGCTGTAAGGAGCGGGGGAGGAGGTGGAGAGGGGTTGGGGTGGGTGAGGTTGGGTTAGGGTTTTATGGGTTGGATTGGCATTTGGAGGCGCCTCAAAAGCTTACAAGCCCCCTTCCTTCCGTCATACTTTGCCAACCCTGGTGTTCTGAATGAGCTGCAAGGAGGGGGAGAGGAGGTGCAGAGGGCCTGTGGTTTGAGGTAAGAAGTAAGGGGCTTATGGGAGAGACATCTGCTTTTGGATATTGTGGACTGGACTTGTATGTGAATAATGATTGTTGAATGATGAGCAGTTAGTGATGGGGGACACTAAATGATGGGCACTGAGTGTGATGGGCACCTAAAGGGCACTTTTGAGAGTTATCAGAAGTGATTTCAGCAGGGCAGGCTGTCATGGCAGGCTGTCATGGCAGGCTGTCATGGCAGGCTGTGATTGCAGGCTGTGATTGCAGGCTGTCACTGTGTTGTTGTGTCCATTGCTCCCCTGCTCCCATACTCCTTCCTCGCTGTCTTGATTGGATAGTGGTTCTGGCTTACTATTGATGGTAATGCCTAATGGCATGCTTGCATCATGCTGATGTCATGCTTGCATCATGCTGACGACATACATGCATGCAATTCTGACGTCAAGCTGACTCCATGCCATGCTGATCTTGTGTGTTGTTGATCTGCGGATATGCATACTGTTTGGCGTGCCTAGTGTATATCTCGCTCAAAGCGCATGTGAGTGAGTGAGTGAGCGAATCATTGTGCGCACTTGTGAGTCGACTCAAAAGTCACCTCGCATACTGTCTGACGTGCCGTGTGTATATCTCGCTCAAAGCGCATGTGAGTGAGCGAATCATTGTGCGCACTTGCGTTTTGAGTCGACCCGTAAAGATCTGCCGCCCAGCTCACAATGTATGGGTGGGTGCATGGGTGCATGGGTGGATGGGTGGATGGGTGGATGGGTGGATGGGTGGATGGGTGCATGGGTGCATGGGTGGATGGTTGAATGGGTGAATGGGTGGATGGGGGGGGGGTGGGGTGGGAATGATGCACGTATGGATGCATGCACACATGCATGTATGCATGCAGGGACCTTAGTAACAACCAGCTTAGTGGCTCCATACCTGCAATCTTCAGTAGGTTTGGGGGCCTGCTGCAACTGTGAGTGTTACACCAGGAGTGGGTGTTGACTTTTGAGGCGACTCAAAAGTCACCTCACCCCACCTCAGACTTTAGCAGGCCTGGAGGCCTGCTGCGACTGTGAGTGTTACACAGTGTTGCGATTGGGAGTGGGGGTGTTACAACTGGAAGAAGGTGTTACAACTGGGAGTGGTTGTTGTTGCGAGCTCTGTCTGTATCACAGTAGCTTCATGCTTGCATGGACGCCAATCCACTCTTCCATTCACCCTTTCCTCTTCTGTGTTTTCAGTGACCTGTTGCACACCGATTTCACAGGCACTCACTAATTTCACCGCCACTCATTTAATTTCACAGGCACTCATTAATTTCACAGGCACACGCGCGCACACACACACACACACACTCGCATGCGCTCACTGATTTCATCTCATCCCCATGATACGGACTATACGTCCTTGTTGTGGTTGTCGTGTGTATCCTTGTTAGTTATACACGTACTGCCATGCCATGCCGCAACACATGCATGCATGTTACACATGTTGCATCACGTGCGTGTGTGTGTGTGCGTGCTACACAAGTAGCACCTCGCGTGCCACCTCACAGTGTTGTCACATCCTCCATCACCGCACCCCACCATACACGCCTTACTGTCCCTGGGTGTTTTTGAGCATTCTTAACAGCACCATCTCTTCCTTCCTACTCGCGTTGTTTCTCTCCCCATCCATCTATTCTCTTCGTTGTTGTTCCTTCCTACTATCCAGCCATTCCATCTCCCTATCCCCGCCCCTGTCTCTCCCAGTCTCCTCGCTTCCTCATCTCCTTATCTGACACCTCCACTTCCCCATCCCCTCCTCCCCCTCTCCCACCCTACCCATCCTCTATTTCCCCTCTCCCTCGCTCCCTATCCATCCGCCCGCCCCCTTCTCCCTCCCACTGCCTCTTACCCCCTGCGTACCCCACCCCCACCTGCTCCGCATCCCTACCTTGCACGTCCTCTGCGCCCCTCTCTCCGTGCTGCATGGCACATGGCACATGGCATGGCACATGGCATCAGGCGCCTGAACGACAACCAGCTCTCAGGAACTATCCCGGAGGACATGCTTGCAGTCATCGGCAACATCAATATCCTGTAAGTTACAGGGTTACGCCACTCGACTCAATGCTCAACCCAGGCTGTAACAACAACAAATTCCTTTTGGGCCCCCTCCCTCCCCCCCCCCCCCCCTCTCTTAGTTGCCATTTTCTGTAGCAACAATGCCTGAAACATCCTCTCTGGATCTATCTATCCCAGAGGACATGCTTTAAGTTTTTGAGACGTCTCAAAACTCAGGATCTATCTATCCCAGAGGACATGCTTCGAGTCCAGAGATGCCATGCCAACCATCACAGCAACACCAAGGCCTTGGTTGGAAGTCTAACGAAGCATGTCCCCTCCTTGGTACTTGCTTTCGATACTGCCTGCTACTACTTACTCAGATGTCGGACGAAGGCCATAGTAGTGCTGTGTGTGTTTGCCTGCATGCCATTGCCATTGCCTCCCTCCCTCCCCCACCCTCCCCTTCCCCCACCCTCTCCCCCCCTTGCCCACACTCTCTGCCACCTCTCTTTCAGACGGCCCTTCCCCTCTGCTCCTATGCTTCTCTTCTTTGGTGGCCGCTCAGCTTGCTTCCCTTATAACCCCACAATCTTCTGGTTCCTTCCTTCCTGTTGGTCACTGACTGACACTGGTCATGAAGAAGAGCAGCAGCAGCCAGCCTGAAGGATCGCAGGTTGTTTTTGAGAATTCTCAAAAGCAACCTGCAACGCTCAGCTTGCTTCCCTTATAACCCCACGGCCTTCTGCCTCCTGTTGGCTACTGACACTGGTCATGAAGAAGAGCAGCAGCAGCAGCCTGCTTGAAGGATCGCTTTAGCAAAGAACGACAGTCACTTGTTGAAAAAATGTAACTTTGAAAAAATGTGACTTTGAAAAAATGTTTCCCTTATAACCCCACGGGCCTCTGGCTCCTGTTCTGTAAAGCTTACAGCGTGTCCTGGGCTTGCCTTGGCAGAAACTGGAGCACAGCATGTTATTCATCTCCTGTTTTCTAGAGTTCACACTGTCTGTCCCTCGTTTTGAGGCGCCTCAAAAGTTGTCCTGGGCTTGCCTTGGCAGAAACTGGAGCACAGCATGTTATTCATCTCCTGTTTTGTTTTGAGGCGCCTCAAAACTGGAGCACCGCATGTTATCGATCTCCTGTTTACACGGACCCTCCTTTTGAGGCGCCTCAATAGTTGTCCGGTGCTTGCCTTGGCAGAAACTGATATCTATCTGCTGTTTTCTAGAGTTTACCCTGTCTGTCCCTCCTCCTCCCCCCTCTCCCCCCCCCCTTTCCCCTCTTCCCCCTTACCCCTATCTGTTGGTTCTGTGATTCTGTCCTCTCTGTTCATTTTTGACTATTCATCCAGACCAATCTTTCTGTTTCTATTTTCCAGCTCTTCTTCCCCCCCACTCTTTTTCGTCTCCCCACACCACACCCACTCTCGCCCCCCCCCCTTCTCTTTCCTCCCCCTCGTCTTCACCTTCCTTGCCCCCTCTCCCCTCTCCCCTTCTCCCAACCCCCTCACTCCCTTCTCCTCCTAACCCCTCCCTTTGCTACCGTATATGTTCCCCCCTCTCCCCCCCCCCTCCCTCCCCCCCTCTCCTTCCCCCCTTTCCCCCTCTCTCACCCTCCATGCCTCCCAGTCTCCTCCACAACAACCAGCTCACGGGATCGATTCCTGCCAGAATAAGCAACTTGGAACCTCTTCAATTCTTGTAAGTCTTTGTTTCTGATGCGCCTCAGCTCAAATGTTCTCGGGTGCTATTGCTGCTAGGAAGAATCAAGCATGCTGCGGGCGGCGACTCCTTTCAGAAACTGTACGGCTCTAGCCTGGAAGGCTCGCAGGCAGGAACCATGGGATGCGTCGTGTTTTGAGTGCCATGGGAGTCGACTCAAAACACGGCTCGCAGGCGGGAACCATGGGATGCGCGTGCCATGCCCAAATGTTCTTTGAGGCACCATGCGGCCATGACCGCTGTTGACCTCTGTTGACTGCTGTTGACCTCTGTTGACCTCTGTTGACCTCTGTTGACTTCTGTTGACTTTTGTTGATCTCTGTTGACCGTTGTCGACTCATTAGTCCCTGATTGATAGTCTACACGACATGACCTCGCAGATGTAGCATGTCACATTCGACACTGGATTCGCACCCCTTTGCGCCCGTCACATCCCTTATCCATCCACACACGTTGGTGTTTCCTGTCAATCAATCTGCCCATGCCAATGCATCCCTGTCACTCCGTCCCATTGTGTCTCCCGTGTTCCATCCCCTCTGCACCCCTCTGCACCCCTCTGCACCCCTTCTCACCCAGAGACTTGAGTGGTAACCAGCTGGATGGGAACGTGCCTGTTGGATTGAGCCTCCTGACTAACCTTCAGTTACTGTCAGCCTCAATGTTGAGCCACCTAAATATGCTGACATGACTAGAGGCTCTTGCGGCCTGCACTGCAGCAAGGGCATGCCGGAATCGAGTTGACTTTGAGTCTACTCAAAAGCCATGCTGATATGACTAGCGGCTCTTGAGACGTCTACCTGCCCTGCCAGTCGCTTCTTGAGACGTCTCAATATTCAGAGCGCAGTTCTCTGCCTGCCAGTTGCTCTTGCTCCACTCCTCACTCGAATTTCTTCCGAAAACGTCCGTTGTTGTGTGTTGTGATTCGGAAACAGACTCCTCCCATCCTCCCGGCATTCCTTTCCCTGTACCTCGTGTTTATCCCCTTGTCAACGCCAGAAAAATCGGCAAGAACCAGATCACAGGGGTTGTTCCCTCGCAACTAGCATTTCTGACAAGATTGAATTACTTGTAAGGTTCCCTAGTGCTCTCCCATCATCCCTATTGCACCCCCATCATCCCTATTGCACCCCCATCATCCCTATTGCACCCCCATCATCCCGATTGCACCCCCATCATCCCTATTGCACCCCCATCATCCCTATTGCACCCCCATCATCCCTATTGCACCCCCATCATCCCTATTGCACCCCCATCATCCCTATTGCACCCCCATCATCCCTATTGCACCCCCATCATCCCTATTGCACCCCCATCATCCCTATTGCACCCCCATCATCCCTATTGCACCCCCATCATCCCTATTGCACCCCCATCATCCCTATTGCACCCCCATCATCCCTATTGCACCCCCATCATCCCTATTGCACCCCCATCATCCCTATTGCACCCCCGTCGTCCCTATTGCACCCCCATCATCCCTATTGCACCCCCATCATCCCTATTGCACCCCCATCATCCCTACTGCACCCCCATCATCCCTATTGCACCCCCATCATCCCTATTGCACCCCCATCATCCCTATTGCACCCCCATCATCCCTATTGCACCCCCATCATCCCTATTGCACCCCCATCATCCCTATTGCACCCCCATCATCCCTATTGCACCCCCATCATCCCTATTGCACCCCCATCATCCCTATTGCACCCCCATCATCCCTATTGCACCCCCATCATCCCTATTGCACCCCCATCATCCCTATTGCACCCCCATCATCCCTATTGCACCCCCATCATCCCTATTGCACCCCCATCATCCCTATTGCACCCCCATCATCCCTATTGCACCCCCATCATCCCTATTGCACCCCCATCATCCCTATTGCACCCCCATCATCCCTATTGCACCCCCATCATCCCTATTGCACCCCCATCATCCCTATTGCACCCCCATCATCCCTATTGCACCCCCATCATCCCTATTGCACCCCCATCATCCCTATTGCACCCCCATCATCCCTATTGCACCCCCATCATCCCTATTGCACCCCCATCATCCCTATTGCACCCCCATCATCCCTATTGCACCCCCATCATCCCTATTGCACCCCCATCATCCCTATTGCACCCCCATCATCCCTATTGCACCCCCATCATCCCTATTGCACCCCCATCATCCCTATTGCACCCCCATCATCCCGACTGTTCTGCACTCCCATCACCTCTCTGCACTGCACTGCACCACCCTGACAAATTCTGACCCTTCTCCCCTCCCTGTTTCCTCCAACAACCCTTCTCTCTGTCCAATCAAAACCTTCGTACCATCACTCCCTCTGCCCGTGCATGGGCAACTCACCATCACCCCCTCTGCCCTTGTGTCGATGTTACTTTTTAAAACCAACCCTTTCAAAAGTAACACCATCACCCCCGCTGCTCTGCCCTTGTGTAGCCAACCATGTCATGCCGATGTTGCGTTGGCTTCGCTACCCATGTATGTTCTCTAGTGGAAAACCAGGTGGAAAAATGCAAGCACGGTAAGGCGTCTGACCATGCTGAACTTGCTCTCGTGCATTCGAGTCCGTGTCCGTTGTTTCCCCCCTGCAGACAACAGCACAAGTGTCCGTGTTTTCCCCCTGCAGACAACAGCACAAGTGTCCGTTGTTTTCCCCCTGCAGACAACAGCACAAGTGTCCGTTGTTTCCCCCCTGCAGACAACAGCACAAGTGTCCGTGTTTTCCCCCTGCAGACAACAGCACAAGTGCCCGTGTTTCCCCCCTACAGACAACAGCACAAGTGTCCGTGTTTTCAGTTTTGAGGCGTCTCAAAACACAGCACAAGTGTCCGTTTCCCCCCCCTGCACTGCAGGTATCTCAATGACAATAGCCTTTCCGGAAGTTTTCCCACTGCGATGATGGGAATGAATAACATCGTGGAATTGTGAGTAGTTCTCCCGTGTGTGAGTTCCCCCACAGACAGGTTTCATGTTTGTGTGTACCCTCTATGGGCAGTGGCATTGCGGCAGGGAGGCAGGCCAGAGAGGTAGAACAGAGAGGTAGGGCAGAGAGGTAGGGCGGAGAGGTAGGGCGGAGAGGCAGAGCAGGGAGGCAGAGCAGGGGGGTGGAGCAGAGAGAGATGTCCCTCGTCCTCTCCTATTCTCTCTCTCTTCCCCTCTTCCTCTTCTCGCCCCTCTCCCACTCCCCCACTTCCATTCTACGCTCATCTCCCTCGTTACCTCCCTCACCCAAACTCGCGACATCCTCTCTGCCTTCTCGCCGTTACCCATCCCCTGGCCCCATCCTGTCCCTCTTAGCACTGCACCAATCTCTGCTGCTGCGGTGACCCGTCTCCACCCTCGCCCTTGTTAAGAAGAAGCATTTGGAAGCAAAGGATGACGAGAGAAGAAATTGTATTAGCAAGAAGCGTCGAGATACATTTGAGGAAGAAGATTGGGAAACCCTAATTGAACTTAGGGTGCGTTCAGTCAAGGAACAAGCCCCAAAATGATCCTAAACTGAACATGAAATGAAACCAAGTCTAAAGCTGCCCCCCGGAAAAATAATATAAGGCCAGAATCACATGCAGAGTGGAAACTAGCCTACTCCAACAGCCCTCCCCTCCCCCCACATCCTTTCCTTCACCCCACCCTCTCTTGCACTCATCCCCTGTGCGCCACAGTCAAGTAGCCAACAACCACCCGCTAGCTCAGTTTACACTGATCCTTTCCTTTCCTACTTGCGTAAACCTATCCCTAAGTAGTGTCTAGTACGCACTGCCGCCCCCTCCCTATCTATCGCTTAAGCAGTGCAATATGTATGATGCTCCGTCGCCATTCCCCCACTGGTCACTCGCCAACAACCAGCTAGTGCCAAACGATGCGAACACGGTGCTTGCTTGCTTGCTGCCTTCTTGCAATAACTTACTCCTAGCAAGCGTGTTTAGTAGTACGCACTGCTGCTCCTTGCCCTGGTGAAACGTATGTCCCCCCCCCATCGCCATTGCCATTCCCCCACAGGTCTCTCGCCAACAACCAGCTAGTGTCAAACGATGTGAACGTGATTCTTGCTGGCTTCTTGCATTAACTTACTCCTAGCAAGTGTGTTTTGTAGTAAGCACTGCCGCTCCTATGCCCCCCATCACCATTCCCCCACAGGTCACTGGCCAACAACCAGCTAGTGTCAAACGATGTGAACGTGATTCTTGCTGGCTTCACCACCGTCAGTGTACTGTGCGTGCGCTCTCACTCTCTCACTCACTGCATGCTGTATGGTGACTTTTGGGTCGCCTAAAAAGACAACCAACTGGTGTCTCAAGGGAGGCGGGAAGGATGGGGGTTGCAGTGGGATCGGGTGGGTGGGGTGAGAGTCGGTGAGAGTGGCTGCTCTTTCATGCACATCCTTCACCATGTGCCCCGGATGGAACATGCAATGCAACATGTAGTTTCACGGTAAAAAACGGCCCTTTCCCATACGACATCCATCTTCTGCTTCCCGTTTCCCCATTTTGCCCGCCCCTACCCTTCGTCTCACCCCCCCATCCTTCCCTTCGTCACATTCTCCCTGTTTTCCTTTCTCCCTCCCTCTCCTCCCCCGGTTTCTCTGAGTTTCTCTTCCCGCTTTCCATTCCCCCCCCCCACCCGCCCACCCCTCCACCCCCCCCCTCCCCCCCCCCCCCCCCCTCCCCCACCGCTTCATTACGTGTGCTATACTGTTCGTTTTTCATATCCCTGTCTCTCTTTTTTGTGTCCCACCAGAGACATTTCACACAACCAATTTTCGGGAACCCTTGCACCAGCGATAAGCGACCTCTCCAATTTGCGAGTTCTGTGCGTTTACCAGAGCACTCAGTAACGAGTCATTGTTCGCACGCACACCACCACTAGAAAGAAGCACTACAAGCAGCAGCAGTGTCACCAGCACCAGCTCCACCACCAGCAGCAGTGGCAGTAACAGCAGCAGCACCACCGCCAACTCCAGCACCAGCATTAGCACCAGCACAAGCAGCATCACCACAATTGCACCAGGAACTCAGCATTCCTTTTTCACTCGTTCGCCATGCTACCTCTGCTGTGTTTTCTTTAGAAAACACAGCAATGCCCGAACCAGCCTTGTTATTTTTCAATCATTGGACCTCGTTTATGATTAGCAACGCTGCGTTGAGGCAAATTGTGCGTTACTGGCACACCGAGTATTGAGTCGACTCACTAATCGCCGCAGGGAGTGACGGCACTGGGAAGAAGGTTAAGGTTGATGTGGTGGAGGTTCTAGATGATTAGCAGCGTTGCCAAAGGGGCAGGTTGTGTGTTACTGGCACACCAAATTTTGAGTCGGGTCGGCTCAATGTTTGCAGGAGGGGGTGGTGGTGTTGAGAAGAGAGTCAAGGTGGATGTGGTGGAGGTATTACCGTAGGTGATTAGCAGCTGTGCCTTGTTGCTAGCTGTGCATGTTAGTGGCACACCGATTTCCAGCAGTTTTTTTGCTCTGGTATATGTGCAGTGCAAATGGAATGCACACCTTGTACTTATTTTTTTCCTCTGACGTGTTTCTTTCTCCCTGCCTGTAAATGATAACCATTATGTATTTCAGCACCCTGCAGTCTCATGCCACACCCCGTTTCGACGAGTCCTCACTGCCTGGTCACCGCCGTTATCCCCCCCACTCCAGAAGAATCGCTGCGTGAATTCCTCCATCGCCCCACCGCATACTGCGGCCACCGAGTCGTCACTAGGTGCTTGGCCCTTAGGAGAAATGGCCGTAAATCAATAAGAGAGTGACAAATAAAGTGACCCTTGATTTTCTGTTTACTCCCCAACCGTTCTTGTTTCTCATTCCGTGATTCGCGTCAAGTGCCGCCAGGCTCCTAGTGTCTATTTGGCAAATTTTCTCCAACGGCTATTTTCTCGTTTTCACAGACACTGCTAAATCTCTGTGCAGCATTCTCGCTGAAATAAGGCTCTCGCTTAGGACCTCCTTCCTTGCCGAATTAATCCCTCCGCGTCGCACCCCGCGTTGTACGAATTGAACAAAGCGCGGCCTTTTAACTCCCTCGACCCTCCATGGCATTTGCCTTGGCTCACCGCGGTGGCGGCTCGGGCCCACATTTACGGGCCTTGCACTCCCTCACTGCTGCGAGTTCAATCCCGTTGCATCAGAGATTTGATTCGTCCCAGGATTCTCGATCGTATCCTGTCCCCGCTGCCAGCACCGTCTCTTGTCGCCTGATGTCGCAGCTGCGTGTCTCATCGTTTCGCGGTCGCATGGCGCCTGCGACAACGTCGCTTCAATCGCTGCCGTCGCTGCGTTCACACACCAGCTCGTTTCGGGATTCCGCAGCAGCCCTCTCTGGACCAATCGCGTTTCGACACGTGGAAAAGCCTATGGCAGGGCGGTTAATCAGGCTCTGGGATTGGAACGTTACAGGAGGAGGTACGGAGAGGAGAAAGGGGGGAATTGAGGGGAGGGTGGTCAAGGCGGGGGGGAAAGGGGGGGTTGGGGGAAAGGAAATGGGGTCTGCCTTGGCCCGTTAAAAACCAGGGTCCCTGCGGTGAGGGCGTGCTCATGGGGATGGGGTGTGGAGGTGTGGGGTGGGATGGGAGACGGTGTGGTGAGAGGAAAGGAGGGACGCAGTGTTGTGATGTGAGGATGTATTATGGTGACTGACTGGGGTGGGTGGATGGTGCCATGCTTTCGTATTCTCCCCTTCACCTTCCCTCTTCCTCTTCCCCTTCCCCTTCCCCTTCCCTCACGGTCCCTTCCCTTTCCCCATTCCGAGTAACTGCTGGGCTGGGCGTATGTCGTAATAGCAGCAGAGAAGCACCCTACAGCATCCTCCCTCGTCTATTTTCCCATCCCCCCTCTCTCTCAGGCGACTGCTGGGCGTACGCGGTGGTGGGCAGCATAGAAATGGCATACGGCATTCTCTCCAACCTCTCCGCCGTGCCGCTCCTCTCCGTCTCCCAGCTACGCGACGCCCTCGGCTCCTCATGCTCGCAGGGCAACTCGCCCTCCCAGGCCTTCCAGTATCTCATCACTCTCAATGCCAAGGCCAACATTGGGCTGATGGAGGATGGGAAAGGGGGGGCGGTGGTGAGCGGGGGCGGAGCCAAGAAGAATGGCAGCACCGGCGCGAGCCCGCTCTGTAGCATACCTGTTTTTGCTCAACTTGTGAAAGCGCTTGGGATCTCCTGCGGCAAAGGCCGGACCCGCGGAACGGTGAGGCTACGTTTCCTATCTTGGTCTTCCTTTTTTACTCAGCCTAATGCAAAGACCTGTTGGTGTGGGAACTGTCGTGTCGTTCCCCTTTTCCTTTTTTTTTTTTCTTGTTTTTTTTTTTTTTTTTTTTTTTTTTTTTTTCTTTCTTTCTTTCTTTCCCGTCTAGGTTAGAGTTGAGTAACGAGTATCGGCAAAATCGTTTCGACGTGAACATGCACAGCTTTGGGTCAAACCTTTTGGTTCGGTTCGGCTTTGTGAACATGCACAGCTCTCTGCCATGGTCCGCATGGTCCTTGCTTGCAAGCTTCTTGGCTCCACCATAATACGAGGTTGGCAGCAACTTGATTGTCCACAAACTGAGCAACTACTACTACGTGGTATGGAGATCACATGCGATCGTACAGCGAACGTATTTTTTTGGATTCGTTCAGAGAGGTGTGGTTTTCCTTTCTTGATAGTGCCTCCCCTTCCATGTTGTCCTCTCCCTTTCCCCACCTTCCCTGCCTCACATCCCCTACCCCTCCTCCCCTTCCCCTCCGCCCCTGCTCCCATGGCAGAGCAAGCCATCGGGGGGGCCATTCAGGGTGAACGGGTTTGAGCGCACGGCGTTCCACGGCTGGTTTGGGCTGCTGCTGGCCGTGCAGCGACAGCCCGTGGTGGTGCATGTGCAGGCCACCGCCCCCTCCTTCCTCAACCATGATGGGGTGAGCACGCACGCACACTTACTCACACGCCCAAACACACACTCAGGCCGTTCATGCTTCTCCTATGACCTCAAACATGTAGGTATGCTGCTGCTGAGAACCCCTTTAAATCCACACCCATGCGCCGCCAAATCCCCTCCCCAGCTATCCAAGTACGCGGACCCATCCTGCTTCACGTACAACCTGAACCACGTGGTGCTGCTGGTGGGCTATCGCCTCACTGGCTCAGACCCCACCTTCCCGCACATGGCGCCGCCCTTCTGGATCATCCGCAACTCATGGGGCCCGGAGTGGGGCGACGGCGGGCACATGCGGATGGACATCCAGGGGGGCGACGGCGTGTGTGGGATCAACACCCTGCCTGGGATCTACCCGGTGGTGCGCGCTGCTGCCGACCCATGCAACGTCAACGGCACGAGGAGGGAGGAGTTTGGGTCGCTGTTCAACCCCTGTGGCAACTTCACATGCACTGTTGATGGGAGCAGCAACCGCTGCGATTGCAACGACCCGCGATTCGTTGAGGCTCGCAATCCTGACAACACACGCACCTGTGCTTACAGTGAGCATTTTTTAATGCGCTTACTGTTGATAAATTTTAGCTGGTATTTGGTGTTCATTGTGGGTGAGCACGGCCATAATCCACTAGGCCCCTTGTATGTAACCCTTTTCCAGAACCTTAGGTCGATGATCGATCCCAGTGCTCTTTCAACACCTCTCCTCATATGGGTAAGCATTGAACCACAGACACCTTCTATGGTGCACATTGCACAACAGGATTCGAGCTCACAGCATGTTAGATACCATGTTGTTAAAACTCAGTTGCTACCCACTTAGCTACCACTTTGGTATGATCTTTCATAGTGGGTGAGCGCGCTCATAAGCCCCAGGATAGACATGGGCAACGAGGCGAGTAACGAGTCCGCACCCTCGAAAAGAAAATACTCGCCCGAGGCAAGTCGAGTATTAGCAGTGAGTAAACGAGTTCTTGTTTTTTACTTGCGTTCAGAAGCGGGTAAACGTGTACTGGCGAGAAGAAAAATACTTGCGAGGAATTTTTTTACTTGTCGCACAATGTGACCCCCATGCGGCCTTGCAGTGGGGCTTCAAACCTGATAAGAATCTTGTTGCAGGTCAGAACCTTTCTTGACGACAATTCGTGTTTTTGCACGGCAAAAATGTTGATAGTTCTTGTAACCAGTAAAAGTTTACTGGGCGAGTAACACGTCCGGTGAGGGCAAAAATGAGTCGTAATACTCGCCTCACTTCGTTACTCCAACGAGGCAGCCAAAAGCGAGGCGAGGATAACTCGTCTCACCTTTTGTCCAATGCCTATCCTAGGTCATCCTTCCATGTAACCCTTTTCCAGGACATTAGGCTGATCCCATTGCTCCTCCAACAGTGATCAATCTCTCCGTTTGCTTGTCGTGGGTGTCGAGTACTGCTCTTGCACATTTGGTGCTTCTATTTTACTCACTTGTCTCGGGTGCTGCTGCTCTATCACCATGTGCTGCCACTCTCGTATATTGCATGCATAGTCTAGTATCACACGCATGTGACCCTTTATTCTTGCCACCTGTGCTAATGCTCAGTGCCTTGATTAGGATGTCTTAGGAAACTTGCACCCTACACTTCCTTCTCAATCTCCTCATGTGTTGCCCACCTTGGGTGTTGTGGTTGGTAGCTTTACACCAGACTATGTGTTTGACATGTCTCGGCCACCACCATTCCGTTCTGTCTCCTCAAAGCATGATCGTCTTGGCTATCTCCCACTCTTACCTCTTGTCTTGTTCACCAGAGGATGCATGCAGGGCAGCGGTGCGCAATCCGTGTGCGGTGGGCACATGTGTGAATGATGGCAAGGGGTCATACTCGTGTGTGTGCCCCCCGGGCTTCAGGCAGGGCACCACCGTTGATGGCACCTTCTCCTGTGGTCCAGGTAACCTACTCCGGTGGTGCGCCAGGTAACCTTCTCATGTGGTCCAGAAAACCTTCTCCAGTGTGGTTTCTACACTTTCTCACGGTAAGCTACCGTCAAGTGTGGCCTTTTATGTTGCAATGCTACGCTATGCCACCACCAAGCTCGTTTTGAGGCACCTCGAGAAGCGCGTTGTCTCCACTCCTATTCATGCTATATTGCCACCAACCAGGCATTGCCTTTCACATTGCCATGTTGCCTCTAAGAATCCTCAAAAGCCCACCTGTCATTGTATCTACCCCTCCACGTTCGTCTCCATATCGTCCCATAACCAAATAATCGTAACCATTCGCACTTGCCAACACCCATCTGCACCATTCGGCACCACGCTGCACCGCATTGCCAGGCGACTCCAGCAGCAAGTACACGGTGGTGCTGGAGGGGCTCACATGTGCAGACATCCACCCCGTGTACAGCCTCACTCTCGCCCAACTGCAAGCCCAGAACCCGGTGAGGCCAGTTGGCAGTTTCTAGCCCATACTGCAATGAAGCACCGCTTTTGTGCTGCGATTAGACGGTTTTTTCAGATCGCCTTGCTGCAATCAACCTCAGAGTCAGAATCGAGGACGGAGTCTAGGTAGATTAGAGGGCCGCGAAATAATAATAAAAAAATGAACTAGGTTTCTGGACAGATAAGTCGTCTTCACAAGAAACGCCGCCGACGAAAATATAACCATTTAAACTTCATGAAAATCGAGTGGCTATCGTTCCCAATTTTTTTTGTAGCAAAATGTGAAGTTTTATCGAGATATAAATTTCGGCGCATGGGGGTATGCTGTAGCTCAAATTTAACTCATAACTCAATCTTCAACCGAGATCCACAAAAATAATTAAAAGAGCAAGAAATTAGGTGGGAGGGGAAGAGGAGGACTAGAGAGAAGGTCCTTAGAGATTCCCCAACCAAGAAAACTCTAAAAGCACACAAAATCTCCTCCCTAAAGGGTCTTTAAAGAGTCCAAATTTTGACATTCGTCATTTTCCCAACCCATTCTATCCACCTCACCAAATTGACCTCACTTAACTGTTGGGTGCAGAATACTATTTTTGCACTGCAACCAGCCGCCTGCATGATGTCATGCATTTTGTATGTGTTCTGTGTGCATTCGTTTTCGCATTTTGTTTCATGTGTTGTTGCTGTGGGATCATGTTCGGTCATGACGGATCATGACGAGTCATGTTCGTTCATGTCGGCTCATGTTCGTTCATGTCGGCTCATGTACGCTCATGTTTGTTTTCATCAACGAACATGTGCGCTCATGAAAGTTATGTGTTTCATGAGTGTTCTGTATTTCATGAATGTCGAGTTGTTTTCATGAGTGATGTTGTGAGTGTCGAGTGTGTTTGGTGTGGAACTCGATTGTTTGACCAGCCCCATTGACCATTTCGCGCTGGTCAACTAAAAAGTGCGCGAAGTCAGGACCCGCGCGTGGGGTCCTGACATGCGCGTGTGGTCGTGCAGGGCCCGCGCGTGTGTCGCAACTGTTTCGATCGTGCACTGTACGCACGATCGCTACAGAACGAAGCGACATGATCGCCTCGTCACGTGCAGGACAACGCACGATCGCGTCAGCGAGTGTTTTGTCCTGCACGACCGAGAAATATCTCGGTCGTGATGAGGGGCATGTGGGGCACGTGGGGCACTCGGGATTCTACAGTTGACTAACGGGATTTCGCGCTGACTTGGCGTGCAGGAAAATTCGCCAGAAAGTCGCGCTGCTTTGCGTCATTATTTCAACAGTGGTACAAAACGGTAAAGCCTGTTTTGTAACTGAAAAACGGGAAACCCACACGAGTGTTCATGATTTGTACATGCGCGATCATGAATGTTCATGAGGGGAGTCAGCAGCAGAATTTGGCAGCAGTGCAGTGGAAGACAGTTATTCTACAGTGGCATATCAAGCCAAATTCAAGGGCAGTTAAACAACCGTTTTCAATGACAGCAAGGCGAAAACCTGGACGACAGTTAGACAACTACCTTGTGTGTTTCCTTTGTGTGCCTAGGACCTTTCATATATGTGTGCCTGTATTTGCTTTTGATTCAACAATGTTTTATGATTTCAAGAGTGCATTCTACTACTACGTATTGACGAGAGTAGATACACAACGAACTGCTGCCGAAACTCTGCTCAACCAGAACGCTCACTCTACAAGCTAAGCTTGGCATAACTACTCACTTGGTTCACAAGTGATGTTAAGTGTTGCCTAGTTTTTGCTTGTGGTACTGAGTTAATCGCTTCCGCATAGTACTTAGAATTAACATTAACAACCTAGTTAGTTTCTCCCGACCACTTGGCAGTAGACATGAGCAAATTACCAAACGTATGTTTGGTTTGGGCCGAATATGTTCGTCATGAACATGTTCGACCTTCTTTTTTTGCAAAACAAAATTGCTTGAACATGTTCGGGGTTCGTCCCGAACATGTTCGGTGTTCAGGAAGTTTAATGCGAAATTTCCCGAACACCAACATGTTCGGGAAATTTCCAGTGTTCCGCGAACATCAGCGCGACATTTGTCGCGCCGGTGGGATGTAAAGGCAACGGAAAAGTGGGATCGAGGTCATTTCGACCTCGATCCCAAACTTTAGGTTTATTCTAGGCCAGGATGGACTAGAAGCTACATAACCAGCGTAGATATACCCAACTTCGCAGTTTCTTATGGAAATCTAGGTTTAGGAGCCCGCTTTAAGAGATTCCAAATCGTAGCAAGAAAATCGCCGGATTAGGGCACCCGGATTAGGGTCAGAAATGAAATCGTATTGTGTCCAGGGTGGTTTAGGGGCGACACATTCCTGCCCTGAATGTTACTATAGGGGAAAAAAATAGTTTCGAACCCAAACATTTTCGGGTTCGCCCGAGCATGTAAAGGTTCGGCGAACAATTTACATGTTCGCCCACCAAGGGGGAACACCAAACACTGATTATGTGCAAAAAATGTTCGGGTGAACCGAACATGTTCGGTTCGGCCATTTGAGATGTTCGTAAGTGTTCAGGCGAACATGTTTGGTGTTCGCCCGATGCTCATGTCTACTTGGCAGCAACTACACTAATTCCCAATGGTCCCTACTCCATATAGAGCCACTTAACAAATTCGCATAGTTGTCGCATCAATTTATGAAAAAGATACGAACTTCGATCGCTCGTAACTCTCTCGTTCTTGCCTTCGAGTGTGACGATTCCTGGTTCGTCAGAAAATTCTTGAACATAAAATATTTTCATGTCTACTCAAGCAAAATGACAATCAGAAGCACTCAGAAAGTCCAAACCATATCTAACACAATTTCCCACACACGTGCACATAAGGTTGAGCACGGGCTGGGCCGGGCCGGGCCCGGGTCGAGCCGCGCTTGGCTGCCCAAAAAAGCGGGTTGGGCCTTGCTCGGCCCACCCCGGGCCGAAGGAGCAAGACTCGGCCCGAGTTCGCCCAGCGGGCTGAGTATGGGCCGACCAGGGTCGAACTAGGCCCGGTCCGGGTGCACTTTCGGGTTTATAGTCACATTGGGTTACAGGCCTGTTTTGGAGATGCTAACATGTCTAGGACAAACGCCTAATAATATTTTATTTCCGTATCGCTAAAAGGGAGTGCTGCGCCAAATAACGGCATGCTTCTAAGTACCGTAGGGCGTCAAGATTTAGACTAACTATGCTGAGAGATCAACTATAAGTTAGGAAAACGAGCCAGGTGAGATCGAAATGTATGGCGAGAAGCTATGGGTGAGCTGCTGGAAGATGCAGCTCGTATTTGAGCTTGCGCAACGCATCTCATTTTTTACCCACACGACATTTGTCGCGGGGGACAAATTCGGGCCAAAACGGCCTGACTCGGGCCGCGTCTCAAGGTGGGCCGGCCCGCCCCGCCCCTAAACGGGCGGGCCAAAAGTGGGCCGCCGACGGCCCGGCGGGCTGGGATTGCCTGGCCCGCCCCGGGCCGATAGCCCCAACTCAGAGGTTTTGCCCGAGGCAGATTCGGCTCGTGCTCAACCCTACGCGCACATCACGCATGCAACGTAGGAACATAGGATGGGAGGCAGACAGATGTGAATGCATATGACGACAGCACACGACACTCTAGCCTCAAAACACCACGAGGTCAGTTTCACGACCAGAAAGACACGATGAGCACTTGATTTTGTATGTTTCTTGTCCGGGTCCTCGTTGCATTCCCATGCCCATGCTTTCCCACTATGTTGTGACGTTCTTGAAAAGACTCTTCTTAAACCTTGACCCTCGCCCACGACCACCAATATTTCCCTTCCCCCTTTTCTCCCCCACAACTCCTATGATGGCTTTGACGGTAAAATCTGCTATCGACAAGCATAAAAACGCTTGGTTTTCACGCTCGATTTTGTTTTTTTGGTTATATAATATCGCGGGTCGCAATGAATAGGATAAATGACGCGCACGAAGTCTAGGAGAAGTCGTCTAGGTATAGGAGATTTAGGATGTCGACTATATCTGGATCTAGAATTGACCTTCACTGTTCAACTTTCAAACATGCAACTAGGTATGATCAAATGGCCCGACCCGACCCGACTTGGGCGGGCCAGCCGGGTTCCGGGTCGGGTCGGGTCGGGTCGGAACCTCAAAGATCTCTGGCCCGACCCGGGTATCGGGTGCCAGGTCAGGCTTGACCCGCCCCCGGGTCGGGTCGGGTCGGGGCCGGGTCGGGTTGGGTCGAGCCGACTCCCATAGGCAGGGTTAGAGGTTCTCTTTAATACTGTGCAGTGTTGCATTGATTGAAAGTATGTTTAATATTATTTTATGCAACATCCTCCATTGTGTAAATAAACTACTCAATGTTGCTTAAAGTGCTACACGTGTTTAGCAAAAGGCTAAATAGGCATAAAAGCTAACGGAGTCACCTTGTAGTTTGAGGTATGGAAACAAGAACCAATCAAGTTTAGGTCGGATCACGTGCTATGAAAGAGTCTACTGCAAAAGCATCAATATCGAGCAAAGATCACAATCCGCTCGCCTCATCCTCCACTCCCAGGGTAGCATTTGCCGTTGAGGTGCTCTTGGGCTGGAGAGTCCCCCCAGTGTGGTGGTCCTGCCACGTCTTAATCAGCATGGAAACTCGCACTTGGCCAGCTGTCAGTCGGTGTCGCTGCCAAGTATTGATGTTCCTGCTTTGTGAGAATGCGCGCTCACTCGCTGCTGACGAAGCCGGTACCCCCAGGTAATCGCGAGCCATCGCCCTCAAGCCCTTCAGCGTCTCCCTCCTGCGCCAGTACTCCAATGCGCTTCCACCCCTCTGCCTCCCCTCAGAGAGGTACTGATCCACCTCATCCTGTGCATCCTCCCCCTCCTCGGCCTCCATGGCGTCCCACGCTGCGAACAGCTGAGACTGGAAGCTGAGCTTTGCCGATGCAGCCACATCCCCGCCCCCTGCCGACGCATGCACCCCTGCACCCCTCGCACTAGTCATCTCCCCACCATCGCCCTGTGCCGTGGTGCTGGCTGCCTGGTGGTACTCTGGAAGGCGCGCCCGTACCAGGGCCTTCACCCTCTCAGGGCCTAGCTCCAGTGTGACCCCTCTCGAAATCCCCTCCGCCCCCACCACTGTTGGCGCCGTACTACTAGCTCCCCTCGCTCGGTGCTTGAAGGGTGCGAGCTTCTGGCGCGGATCCAAGAATGTGGCTATCGCTGCCTCCTCGCTCACCCCCCCCATGTGTCGCTCCAGCTTGCTCAACACAGCACGGATCAGCGATGAGCGCAGAGGGGAGATCCCAGGAGTGAGCAGGGCCTTCTCCTGTAGATCAATCAGCGCGTTGTACTGCGGTACAACGGCTGAGATCGTGGGGTACAGGGAACCCTCGGCGAAGAGGGTGACTTGCTCGAATGGGGTGAGGAAGTCTCGGAGCTCGGCGAGGTCGGCCCAGTGCGCATCCGTCAACTTGATGCCATCCATCGCCTTGCGAGTAATGGATGGCTGAAATGGGTCACATGGTTTGGGGGGTTGTAAAGATGGTGGGAACACAACACAAGACTTCAGCGTATGGCAATGCACATGCCATAAAGCACCATCCAACAATCCATGTATTGGCGCTCACTTCGTTATAGTCACATGGCCACGCTGATCCCAACATGCACCACGAGTCAAGCCATGCTCACATATCCCCATTCGCTATAGTCACATGGCCATATGAATCCCATCATACGTACGCCGGGATCCTCGAAATACATGGCAAGCGGGATGCGCAGCTCGAAGCCCCTGTTCACCATGTTGAGTGTAGAACCCCATCTCGTCGGCGAGTCCACGATCAAGCGCAACGGACCCTTTGCTCGCCCCGCAGCCGGAGGACCCTGGGTCGCCGCGTATCCCCTCTGCAGCTCGAAGAAACGATCTGTACGCAGCGTGGACCAGCCGATGAAGTTCGCCACATCTCGCAGCCTCTTGAGTGGCTCGGCCACCTCGTCCGCGCAGGACCTTGGCGAATGACCTTCCCAAAGCCTTCAGCAGGGGCGCGGCCCTAGCGATGTGCGCCTGCACGGCGCGCCGAGATGCCCTAAAACGCGGGGCCTGCAATGCGCGCGCCTAGGGAGCGCGACCTGTAAATTTCGGATTAATAGGAAACCCTAAGCTGGTTGGCGCGAAGTGGGAATAACTTATAAAAAACGATTCGTAGAATACTAACTAAACATTATCGCAGGTTATAGGGTAGTTTATTACGCCAACGTTTCTTGGTGGGTGGCTGCTGGCGTCACTAGCTAGGTAAGTTAACTTAATCCAGATCGAAATGCTAGTCGCTGGGAAAACTAGCATGCGCGATTGTGATCTGGATCACATTGTCGAGAGAAAACCCTCTGGTCGCCCCAGATACCCGACCCGACATAGGGCGCGGTACCCGAAACCGGGTCGGGTCCCTATTCGGGTCAAAACCCGACCCGACCCGACCCGACCCGGAATCGGGTCACGAGTCGACCCGACTCGGCCGGGTATACCCGACCCGACCCGGCCGGGTCAGGGGTTCAGAATTCCTGACCTGACCCGGGTCAAAACCCGGGTCGGTCGGGTCGACCCGACCCGCCGGGGCGGGATGCTCATGCCTACATGCAACTGGTTCGGGTTCTTTGTACTCTTGAATATTGGAAGTAGGTAATGAGGGGCGGATTTTTTGGGGACAATTTTGTTAGGCGAATCTGTTGGATTGAAGGCTACGAATCTCGATTCCGACGAGTTCAAGGGTACAAATTGCACTCCCTCTTCCCTCATAGTTTCCTACACTCCCTCCGATGCTGTTTCTACTCGAGGCTTTTTATTGCCTGCCCCCCCTTTTATTTTGCCTGCCAGGCGTCAAACGAGCATCATTGGATTCTCCAAAAGTGCGTCAAGTGTCCAGACGCTAGCGCCCCTCCGCACCAGACCATGAGTATCCCCACTCCTTCCCATCCCCTTCCTCCCCCTGTCCTTTCTCCTATCCTTCCTCTTCAGGGTCTGAGCTGCAGTGCTCCTCTCGCTGTCGACACGGTGGTGAACGTGGTCCAGCCAGCCGACCTCACGCCCTGCTCCGTCTACTACACCACGTCCGAGGTCCGTCCCTTCCCTCCTCTCATTGCCTGCATACACAGCTCTCTCCATCCCTCCCTCCACCCCTCCCTCCACCTCTCCCTCCCTCGTCGCTCCCTCCCTCCCTCCTTTCCTACACTGACTCCTTGATCGTACATTCCCCTTGTCCTCCGGACTCCCTGCCTACTCCCTCCCAACCGTCTCATCCATGCCCCTTCCCCTAGTCCCCATTATTAAAATAAGGCAGTCAACATTTTGTGTACTCTATTTTATATTCAGTAGGTTATTCATAGTGTAAATCTATTATCCCAACCTTATGAAGGTCAAAATTCCCTTGTAATCCAACCAGTCTGCCAGCTCATCATTGGAGATTTGGTTGAGTTCTCATTCCATCTGTTCTCTTCGATTCCAAAACTCAACTTTGTTTGTACTTACGGCCCACAAGTGTGAAGCATTCATTCGCACATAGTCGTTTGAGGACGTGTCTCTCCCATCCGGTTATAATATAGTTCGCGGAACATGGGTGTCCTTGGTTAAGCAGCTTCCCAAACGGCTCCTCTAGTCAAAGTTTGGTACTGTGCAAAAACATTCACCCAAAAGCTAGGATTTGACTTCTTTGACACATTTTCAGTCTCACCCATCGCCGAACTCCCCACGTTGCAAACCTTCATAAACGTTGCTGCTCAAGATGACGTAGAAGTTGACGAATGGACGTGTCCTCTCCGTTTCTCCAAGGGGGTTTGATTTTCGTGGATTGACCGGAAGGGTATCCAGCCCCTAAACCTTTAGACGCAGTTTGGAAGTTGAAAAAGCTAGTGTATGGCTTTAAGCAAGCACCAAGGGAATGGCATATCAAGCTCAAAAGCATTCTCCTGTCACTGGAGTTTCACGCACCCATCTCCGATCCCAACAGTTTCATTCGAAAGACATCATCCCGATTCTTCATCCTGATTTGTGTGGATGATATATTTTTTTGTCTTGAAGGACTCGGGAGAGTTGGCTGAGAGTTGGCTGCTGTCAAGTCTGATCTTGGCAAAATGCTCGCCATGAAGGATTTTGTGAAGCTGACCAGCTATTTGGATATGCAGCTCATACTATCACTCTCTTGCAAAAGTTACATCTCTAATGTATTTGAGCATTTTGAGATGCAGAATGCAAAACCCATCCATACATCCGCTACAACACCAAATCATCGCACCTTTAGTTCCTTCGCATGAGTCATGTGACAAGCCCTATCCTGAGCTCGTGTGATCTTGCATGTATGCAATGATGCACACTCTTCCAGATCTGGCCTACCCAATGAGTGTACTCCCTCGCTACGTTGCCCCTGGTCGTTGTATTCATCAGCATTGGACCGCTGCCAAGTGGGTCCTTTGTCATCTCAAAGCTACTCAGCATCATGTCCTCACTCTTGGGAGGTCTTCTCCCATTTGCCTTGAGGATTATAGTGATTTTTCGTGGGCTAATTACTAGAATGATCGCCGCATTTCACATGTGATAGTGGGGTTATGTGTTGGGCTCCACTCGGTCAACTTCCGCCTCGCTGTCCTCGTGTGTGCCGAGGTTTATGCCGGAAGGGACTATGGCTGCTCAGGAAGCCCGTTCGTTGCTAACTCTGCATGGCGAACTTGAGTATCCATCCACAGCTCACACCTACCCATTTGTGTGACAATGAGAGCACTATTCACCTCATCAAGAACCCTCTCTTCGTCAGCCGCACCAAGCACATTGAGATCCATCCGCCACTATTTTCTTCGTGAGCGAGTCCTGTGTGGGCAGCTCAAAGCTGAGCACGTTGCATCCGATCCGACTGCAATCAATGGCCTCTTCACCAAAACCTTTGGCCGCCAGGACCACTACCGTCTGCTTACCTCTATGAGACTTCAGTCTCTCATGGTTGACATTTTGGGGGTGTTAGAATCAGGCTGCCAACATTATGTGTACTCCATACTATATTCAGTAGGAGATTTCTAGTATAGGTGTAAATTTTGTAATTCAACCTTGTCCAACCAATCTGCCAACTCATCGTTCGAGATTTGGTTGGAATTCCATTCCACCCTTTGTTTGGCCGAGATCCTTCATTTAAGTTCCCCTTTTCTGATACCCCTCTCATCCTTCCCCCTTTCCCCCGCCCACTCGTCTCCTCTCTTATTTTCTCGCTCGTCCTCCTGTCTACTCTCCAACCCTCCCTCCCATCCCCCCAGGGCGACACATGTGAGTCGCTAGCCACCTACTTCTCCATCACCGCTGGCTGCCCGACTCCCACTGAGCCCTGCGCAGAGGCCTTCCAGGCGCTCAACCCCGGGCTGGACTGCTCCGGCAGCGGGGAGCTGCTGCCCAGCCAGGCGGTGTGTGTGGAGCGGCGGGCGGAGAGTGCAGCGGCGCTGCTCATCCCGGTGTGCTCGCAGTTCTATCTGGTGCAGGCCGGGGAGACGTGCGACCAGATCCGCTCCGTGCCCTCCCCGCCGCTCTCCCCTCTCGAGTTCTTCCGCCTCAACCCCGGCATCAAGTGCAGCCGCCTCGTGCCCAAGACTGACGTCGGCAGCCTAACAGGCTTTGAGGTCTGCTCTCCTCTTCGTCCACATCACCCTCTCCCCTGCATTATCCTCTCCTCCTCCGCATTCTCTCCTCCCTTTCTTCATCCTCTCCCCACTCGTCCGTGCCCTCTCCTCTTGCCTCTCGCTTTCACGAATTCTGTTGATTGTTTCTCTGGTTCGCACCTAGTTTCACCCGCAGGTTGCCGGTTCCATGCAATTCCATGGCATTCAGGGCGTATCTCACTTCGTGTCGAGGATCTGTTTGTGTCATCCAAGATTCTTGGCTGACCAATGGGGCACATTTCAGTTCGTGTCAATGCGCCCCATTGGTCGTCCAAGAATCTCGGATTGCACAAACAGTACCCTTGACATAAACTGAGATACACCCTCATTGGTTCCCTCGCCCTGCTGTTGTTTCTGTCTCAGCCTACACTGCCAGTTCACACCTGTAGATCACACTGCAAACACACCTGCAGACCGCACCTTCAGTTCACACCTGACTCTCTCACCCTCTCTTCCCTCTCCCCTCCACCCTCTTTCCCCCTCCCTCCGCCCTCATGCCCTAAACCCTAAACCCGCGCACATTTGACTGCATGGCAAGTGCAGGCATGCATAGGCAGCTCGTTCAGCTCGTCTGTGCCTTGCTCCCCTCCCCCCCTACACACACCCCATTCACATGGCAAGTGCAGGCGTGCATAGGCAGCTCGTTCAGCTTCACGCAAGGAGTGTGCCCCAAGACTCGTGCGTACGTGGTTGGGACTGGCGACCGCTGCACTGGCCTGCAGGTCAAGTACTTCCGTGGAATCAAAGGGTGCTACAGGAGGACCAACGGCTACGATTGCATCGATAAGCTCGTCAAATCCACCAGAGTGTGCATTCCCAACCAAGTGAAGATCAAGGCCGGGAAATGCGAACCTTGACCCATTATCCCCTGGTTGTAGGATCACGCCCTCATATTCACGATGAATGAGGCTGATTGATCAGCATACGTACCGTGAGCGCACCGATAGAAGATACTGTTAAACGTGTACCTTGTATTGGAGTCCCTTATATAGTAGTCTCTGCTGTTGAGATAGATTCCTTCTGAATGGAGGCCTTTATATAAAAGACCCAATGACAGTTAAATGTTGGACATGTATATATTACATAGTGTGTCAAATGGAACGAGGTAGCGAGGATTGCACTAGAGTGTCAAACGAGTACAAAGTATGAGCGAAGGCATGAGCGAATACTTATAAGCGAAAATGCAAACGCGGCACGTGCGAGCTAGCTGGTGTTGTTTCTTCTTCCTCTTCTCCTTCTTCTGCTTCTGTTGCCTCTGCTTCTGCTTCTTCTTCTGCTGGCAGGGTTGACGTCGCGAGTGCGAGGAATTTACGGTCGGGGATAGTGAGGAGCGGAGTGGTGGTGCCTTCAATGAATCCTCCGAGCGGATTCAGGCGAGAGGGTAGAGGTCCAAAGGTGTCACGTTGTGGAGTTGACGGCTCGTTGCCCCAGTCGATCCAGGTGTGGTTAGATTGTCCCACGTAGGGCGAGCGAGGGATGGGAGGTTTCTTGGACGTTGCCCGAGGGGAACTACAGTCCTAGGTGTGGTAATCTCAGCTTCAAACTCTCTCTGCCTCCTCTAGTTCTTCTGAGGTGAGGTCCCAGCCGGTTTCTTGTTCAGTAGTACCCCAGCCGCCGCCGCTGCCAGTGCCGGTTGTTCCCCAGCCGCCTGTAGCAGATGCCCATGTTCCACATGAGGTCAGTGTGTCGCCTTTGCCCCAACCAGTTGTCGCGTTTCGTGCTGTTTGGGGGTCCCAGCCTGCCGCGATTCTCTCTTCCACGAGCTTTTCCCATTCTTCTCGTTGCTTTCGCTCCTCTTCTTCCTTAACGTTTGGTTCTGTCAACGGGAGTTGTGTGTTGGCCCCGTCCTTGCTTGGGCGGAGCCGACTCCGTGGTCGGATGTGCGGGAGGTGCAGCCGACCTGCTGCAATGGGCGACGCCGACTTGGGCGCGCAGGTCGACAGGCTTGGTCGACCTGCACGGGGGCCACTACGAAGCCGCCGACGACGGGCGTCGGCGGCCGACTTCAGCCGTGGTCGACGTGGGGTCACGTCGACCTGGGAAGGGCGCCGACTTGGTGGCACCGACATGGGAGGTCTGGTCGACCTGGAGGTGGTCGACCAGCAGTAGCCGACTGGGAAGGTCGGCTGGTGGTGGCTGTCGACCTGGGCGGTCGACGAGCACATGGTCAACGTGGATGTCCCGGTCGACCAAGTAACCAGGGCGACAAGGTTCTGCGGGGTGCGCGACAGTCGCCCAGGTGGTTGTGGCGAAGCCAACCTCGGTGGTGGTATCCCGAGGTCGACGTGGCTGATTAGATGCAGTCGACAGCACGTCGGCGTGGTGTCTGCGCTGTGCAGGTGACGAGGCACAGCACGCCAATCAACTGCGAGCACCTGCGAAGCGGGTGCGCTACAGTCATGCGGGTGCAACGCTGTGCAGCCGCCTTGCTGCAGCGTTGGTACGCCGTCGACTTGCAGCGTTGTTAGACCGCGACTTTGCACTGCTGAAGCGCGGTCGACCTAGCAGTGTTGGAACGCGGTCGACCGTGCTGCGCTGGCAGTCGACCTGCATGCTTGCTAGCATCTGATGTAGTCTTGCTTGCCAACTATGTTGCTACCATTGTTGTGAACTTGTGCTAGTAAAACTCTTGCCAATTTCCTTCGTGAATGCGCAAGTAGAGAGAACACAAGCAAACGACTAAGGAACGCTACGATCACTCCTACCCCGTGCCTTCCCTGTAGTCTAGCTCCTGTTGCAGTAGTTATCTCCACATGGTGCGGTGAGCGTGGATCGAACACGCGTGCTCGGCCAAGGTACTTGTGTTCCTTGTCTGGGGGAGCGAAGTGACGTTCGATGTCGCGCGTTACGGGGTCGGTGCTGAATGTAACTCCGCATTCTGAGAGTTGTCCCACGGATAGCAGATTGAAGCGCAAGTCGGGCACTATGACCACATCGTTGAAGGTGATGCGCATATTGTTGTCTCGTGCTTTTAGCACAACCATGCCTTGTGCGCTTGCTCGGAGCTGGTTGTTGTTCGCGACAGTGACGTAGGTGACTGAAGGGGTTGCGGTGGCGTTGGAGATGTAACGCGTGGACCCCACCATGTGCTACCCACAGCAGCTATCCATGTACCAATTGTTCTAGTTGCTATTGTTGCCGCGTAGGAGGAGGGCAAGTCGCGGCGTGACGATAGTCGCCATATCGACTTTAAGGAAGTCGTGTTGTTCGTTCCACTCCAGAGGAACGGGCCGCTGCTCGTGACGGTGAGGAGGGCTTTCACGTATTTGGATTGGTAAGTTCTAGTCTTGTCGAACATCGTCATCATAGTAGTGATCGTCGAGAAGGAATTGTTAGCCTCCACTGGTTGTATTGTTTCACCGACGAGTTCTTCTTCTTCGTCGGGCGAAGTAGCATGTGCGCGTCGTTGGCCGGCGGTTCGGCGCATCGCCATGTTTCCAATGACGTTCCTTGTTCCTCCCGTCTGTGTTGCTTGTGTCTGCTGCTGCTGCTGCTGTTGTTGAGCAGGTGGACGGGGAATTTGCTGAGACTGACGCACGTCTTGTCGGCCGACCCAATTGTTATGGTGAGTGGAGTTGGGGTGGCGATTGTTGGACCAGAATCTCCATCGGTCCGTTGAATGCCCTAATGTCTTGCAGATTTTGCAGTAGTGGTGCCGCGGTTGTCATCGCTCTTCTCGGTTGCCAGCGTAGAAGGCGAGGCGTTCTCGTCGCGGCGCGGGGCTTGCTTTGCTTGAATCCATGTCTTGCTGTTCGACGAGAAGGGCGGCGCATAGGGAAGATTCCGAGATTGCTCCCTGCTGTCGGAGTAGCGCCGTACAGGGCTTCCACTCTGGCCCGAGTTTGGCGAGGACTATGTTGACGAAACAAACTTCGGAAATGGTGCTCCCGTGCTACGCGATTTGATCGCGGATGTTCCGACAGCGTTCAATATATGAATTCGCCTTCTCCCCGTGCCCCATCTTGATCTCCATGAGTTGCTGTAGGAGCCTGCTGGAGGTGACATAGTCTTTCGGCTGATACACCTTCGTCAAGTGTTTCCAAACTTCCAGTGCCGGAGTTGGGTTCTCCTTGTAGGAGCGGATGCCGAGTTGCTCCGCGGGCGTCATGTTCCTTAGCAGCACGATGTACGCCATGAGGAACTCGGTGTAGTACTGAGCCCTGGCGTCTTCGGTGTCAGTAACCAGACTTGGATAGGAGCCGTCGAAGTAATGGTAGATTTGAGTTGTCTGTAGTAGGAGCTCCAATTCAAAACTCCATGTATAAAAGTCTTTCCCGTCAAAGATGATGCTTGTCTTCATTTTTGAGATGTTCAAGAAGCGTGTTTGCGCAGAGTTGATAGCTTCATCAATTGGACGGGGGGCTGTCGGTATTGAATTGTTTATCTCGACGGAGAAGGTGTGCGGGGCGGTTACACGACATTCGTGGCCGGATGAGTAGGTTGTGTGGGCTGCGACGAGGTTCCCGCGTCGCCATTCCGCAATGTTTTGAGTCCTTGCTCCAAGGTTGATAATCGCTGAAGCAGTTGCTCGAGTGCGACGGAGTTGATCGTGGTTGTCCCCTCTGATGTCGCATCAGGGTTGGCCTGCGCTTCAGCCGTTCGATTTTCTTGGCCGCCTGATCCTCCGACCATTTTGATGCGTGAGCGTGTGCCGCTCGCCACTTTAGGTTTGGCGAAATTTGCGGTAGTGGGTGTTCGAAGAATCCCTGAGTTGCTCTCATACCATGTTACAATCCTAAAAAATGCCTTAGCCAGGGATCGGCTCAGGGTTGATCGCATGTGATATTGCAGCGGAAGTGTTGACCCCAGGTCAGAGTAAATGTAATTGACTGAGTTAATTATAGTAGATGCATACATATGTTTATATAGGAAATACAAAGGAATGCGAAACGACATAGCTAGCCATGTACTCTAAGGGATACATTCCTTTATTACAGCGAAGTTCAAACCGTGCGGCGCGGGAACCTGTTTCGAACAGGTTCCCGCCATTTTTACATCGAGTGTTTCTGCCTGCATTGGTCTTGATCAGACGGTTGTTTGATGTCGCTTCGACTCGTCTGACGCCTCGACCTCGTAGTCGGTAGAGTCGGCTCCTATAATGTACATGAATGCATTCTCATTTAACTCATATCTCTCAACAGGACTGTTCGAATTCCTTTTGTTGTAATCACCTCTGTCATCCTACATTTATTCTGAGAGGTGTCACCAATTAACACTCATGTAACATGCTACCAGCAAACAATTCTGAGCAAGATCCCGACCAAGTCCTCTACGGATTGTGGCTCTCAGCCCATGTGAAGATATTCCGAGAACTATGTTTCCTGTGTAAATTAAATTCCATGATATATATTGTTATTCTCAGAAGGAAGTAAGGTGATTAATTTCCATAGCATTGCCTTAATCAATTAGAGGTCAAGATTTAGCAAAATGTTTTCCAGCTAGGTTACTGTAGGACACAGCTGTGGAGGGAATGTAATAGACCGTACAATCACATCCCACCAGCATACCTTGTCCTTGTTGCCCGTCCTCCTGACCCCAGCGGGCTGGAAGCTGCAGTTCTTATCGCCGGCCCCAGATCGACAATCAAGCCCAAACCTTTTTTATTCCACCACCGATCGCCGTCGTTTCGGCCCTCCGGTACGGACAGTGCTTCTGAACGGAGAATCTCGTCATTGGTCGCAAGCGATGCTGGGTTGGGGTTGTGTTGGGTTTGGGAGAGCCAGCTCGTTCGTGAACGTACATCCTTCACAGAACCCTTTTACCCTTTTTAACCATTCTATACTTTAGATATACCGCTCTAGATCGTATCAAGCCCTGTTGATATGCATTCGGACGTGCTTTCAGGACACCCCCTCAGCACTGCACAAAACCGAACTGCCCAGTCTGGTGTGGGTTTTGTTTTGCAGGAGCAGGTCCCATTTTTCTGACTAGAGACAACGGCGAATGAGGTGCCGGAGGAACGGCAATGCTGGAAGCTTTCACTGTTCTGATACGGAGTGAGAAAGTAGGACCTTTCTTTCTGCACTGGCGGTGCGAGTACACCTTAAATTTACCGCATCTGTGAAAAACTTGGGAGAGCGTCTGTCCGTCAGTAATAGTGGAGGCGACCGTGCGGCATGTCGCTCTCTCAGCGTCGCGCAAGCCAATCAGCCGCGTCGCAGACGTCGCAAGCCAATCAGCCGCGTCGCAGCGTATCTCAGCGTCGCCGCTAGAGAGTTCACAGTAGGGAATTCTCAAGTTTAGGCTGTCTCAACTTCACCCTTTTTCCGACGAGTCGTCGGTCGACAGCTGTGTGCTGTTGCCGGCGCCAGGTGCTCCGCGGAGTGCCACAGCTTGGGGCCCCGCCGAGCCTAAACGAGTTTCTCCTCTGCGTAGACAATTCCGAACAGTCTCTAGTTATCTCTCCTAGGAAACCTCTAGTTCTTTCAGAGCGCAAAGACTTGCCGCGTGCGAGGACAAGAGTGTGCCGACTTTGAGCCGGCGGCGCTTTAAAGGCGAGACCTTGAGTACGCGAGATCCCACCCGACAGAACCCTCTTTCTACTCGAGTTCGCGCGGACCCTGCTCTTGATTTCCTCGCACGTACTCGTCGCCTTTTGCTTGTTTCGGGGGTCTTGCTACCGCCGCGAGAAGGCTCTGTATCGTCACCAGTGGCAGCAGTAGTAGCAGCAGCAGGCTCTGGAAAGTAAAGGAGCTTCTGTTTCCCCACACAGAATGAGTTGACTTTTGCGGTTTAGCAGCGCAGTTTCCCCACACAGACCGACCAACCACAGCATGGCCTTACACAACATCCGTGGCAGTACCAGCAGCAGCAGCAGCGACCGCAGCAACAGCGAGAGCAGCAGCCGCACTAGCAGCAGTTCCCCTACTAGTAGCGCCACGAGCAGCAGCAGCGGCGGGATTCGCATAACGCCCATCATGGCGATTCGCGTGTCGCCTATGGCTGTCGCCATCACCATTGCCGTCGCCATCGTCGCCCTCGCGGTGGTCTCGCCCCTTCCCGCCCTGCCAGAAACCCATGCGGCCAAGGTCCCCGCCCCTCAAAGTAAGAAGCTTTGCCATTTGAGACGCCTCTATCTCCGTCTCGTACCTTGCGAGTACTACCAGCACGCATCTCATGTCCCCCTCCCGCTTCCCACACCAGGGTGGGCCCTCAAGGAGCGAGTTTATATGAGTGGATGAGTGGGGCACTGGGGCGTGTGTGTGTGTGTGTGTGTGTGTGTGTGTGTGTGTGTGTGTCGCAGATTTTCCTCCCTCCCATCTGCGTCCTAAGAACGTTCACCCCCATGCCACCCCAGGAGCTGGCTGGGGTGAGGCGAATCACCCTTGTCTTCCCATCCCACACCAAGGTCGGTCCTCCAGGAGACAAGAAGTGAGCGCGCAAACTCCTTCTAATGAGGAGCATTCATTCCGCGCACCCCCCACCCCCTCTCCCCCCTTCCTCCTCCCCCCCCTTTCCCCCTTCCCACGCCAAGGCCGGGCCTCTAGACAAGAAGTGAGCACACCAATGCGTCTCAATAAGGAGCATCCATTCCACGCACAAAACCCCCTTGCCCCCCTCTCTCTCTCCCCTTCCCCTTCCCCCCACCCCCCTTTTCTTCCCCCCTCACCCTTTCCTCCCTCCTTTCTCCCCCCCCTTTCCCCATTCACACGCAAAGACCAGTCCTTTAGGAGAGAAACAGTGACCAGGGCCTGTAAGTTTGTCGTGCTCTACATACCTGCATCCCACCTGCATCCTACCTGGTTTCGTAGGAGGAGACACAAAGTGAGTGGGACACGTATTTCCAGCGTCCCTGTGAGAATCGTTCGTTCTTTCCACCCCCCCGCCCGTTCCCCCCCTCCGCCCCCTCTCCTACGGCAGTGACGGTCCTGCAGGCGTTGAAGCGCGAGTGGGGGTTCAACGGCAGTGGGGCGCTTTTGAGTCGACTCAAAACATTCCCCTCCCCCTTGCCCCCCTCCCCTTCCCCACTTCCCACCCCCCCCTCTTCTCCACGGCAGTGTCGGTCCTGCAGGCGCTGAAGAGCGAGTGGAGGTTCAACGGCAGTGAGACGTGGACGCCTAACACTGACTGTACCAAGATGAAGGGCATTTTCTGCAATCCCTCTGGCGACATCGTTGCCCTGTGAGTAGATACTAGCTAGATACCCTCAGTGTGACGTGACCCCCTGTTGAACTGTTCCACTGAGTGACTCCCTGTTTAGAGTCGACTCAAAACACGACTGTAGCGACATGGTCGGCCTTGCCTGCACTGGCTTTGGCGACATCGTTGTCATGTGAGTAGAGTAGACAGACAGACATAGACCAAGGGTTGCCCCGATGACCAGATTCGACTCAGTGTTACCCCTTGTTGAGTTGACTTTGTCAGAACTTGAGCTTAGAATCCATACATTAATAATGAGCTCGAAGCTCGTTAAGTACATCCAGGATGGGCAAGGAAAGGATCTCCAAGGGAATCAGGGGGCAATCTCTGGGGATCGGGGGTAATCCCAAGGCAATCTCCAATTGGTAATCCCAAGGCAATCTCCAGGATGGGCAAGGAAAGGAGAGGGAGACTGCAGACGACCTGGTGGAGAGCCAGCTGACAATTCTGCTCCCAAGGGTGAAGCAGTAGCCCTCGGAGGAGCGTCGGTTCGTCTGGTCATCGACCCAGGAGGAGTCAGTGTAACCTTCCAGGCGAGGAGGAGAAAGACCACCAAGTGTGAGTACATGAGACTTGGTGCCCTGCAGATAGCGCAGCACCCGCTTTGCCGCCTTCCAGTGAAGGTCAGTGAAGCGTCCAGGAGCCACATAGCGAGAGAGGACACTGACAGGGTATGCCAGGTCAGGACGGGTGCACATCATGGCGTACATGAGGGACCCTACAAGCTTCGGGTATGGCTCAGAGCCGGCCTCTGGTGTGGGCACACCTGGAGCTGTGAGGAGGTGTTGTAGCGACAGCAGGGTGGCCATGGGTGTGCACAACTCCATCTCAAAGCGCTTGAGCACATTGTTGATGTAGAACTCCTGGGAGGGTGAGATGGTGCGAGCTTGGTGATCACGAGTGATCTCCATCCCCAGGTAGTGCTTGAGGTCACCGAGGTCTTCCATCAGGAAGGCCTTGCTCAGGGCCGCCTGGACAGAGGTCATCTGGGCCGAGTCATTGGCAACGAGGATGAAGTCATCGACGTAGACAAGGATGTAGAATGGCTCAGATTGACGGCGAATGAAGACAGTCGGGTCAGCAGATGATGGGTGAAAGTCCAATGAGAGAAAGACTTCTTTCACTTTGTTGTGCCATTCACGAGGGGCTTGTTTGAGGCCGTAAACAGGGCGATTCAGCTTCCAAACAGTGTTGGGAGGGAACTCTCCCGGAAAGCCTTCAGGTCGGTCCATAAACACAGTCTCCTTGAGGTGTCCTTGCAGGAATGCCGAAGAGGCGTCCATGGATTTGATCTCAAAGTTTTCTCGTGCGGCTACATCCAAGAGCGTGCAAACTGTGGGTGGTTTGTATATGGGAGAGAAAGTTTTGAAGAAGTCAAAGTGCTGCTGCTGAGTGAATCCCTTGGCCACATAGCGCGCTTTGAATACTGGGGCCTCGTCCGGAAGCTGCTTCACTCGAAACAGCCACTTGCCCCCAACGATGTTAACTCCTGGAGGTGGAGTTTCGTCGTCGAAGGAGTGGTTGCGAGTGAAGGCTTCACACTCAACTTCCATGGCAGCGCGCCATTCGGCAGCATGGGGACCCGAAAGAGCCTCTTGGATGGTGAGAGGGATAGGGATGGTCGGGTTCTCCAAGAAGTTGAGCGAGGGTGATTCAGTGATATCGGGGAAGATGTGCGAGAGCTGAGGAATGACAGCGTGGAGATCACACAGCTCCTCATGCCTGTCTTCTAGAAGGGTAGAGGGCACATCCCCCCCAGCAGGAGGAGTCGGAGTGATCACTGAGCATCGAATGGCAAGTGCCAGTGGAGGAGCAGCCTCATGCGACCGAGTGCCATGAGCCACCGGAGAAGAGGGTGGAGCAGGCGTTCCTGGAGGGGACGGTTTGGGAGGCTTGGGCGGAGGGATCGGCCGTCGCTGGTACGTGATCAGTTTGCTCGGTTGTGGGAGAGCAGGTTCCTGGGTGGAGGAGGGAACGTGGGGAGGAGGTGGGGCTGGAGGGTTCGACCGCCGATGGTATGTGATTGGTGCGCTTGGTGGTGGGAGCGCAGTTGGCAGAGTGGTAGAGGGGGGAGATGGAGGAGCAGCTGCCGAAGACACCGGAGAGGTCGGGTTAGAGACCTCAGACGGGGATGGTGCGATGGCAGGAGAGGTAGGAGGTGAGGGAGCTGGTGCAGGCGGAAGTTCAGGAGGCGCATCAAAGTCAGCCCACACAAGAGAGGGTGGTCCGGAGGGGGGATCCCCCCCCGAGGTGGAGTAGAAGGGGCGAGTCTCATCAAAGACGACATCGCGGCTCCTGACTAGTTGTTGAGTGGAGGGGTTGATGAAAAGGTAGTCAGGGAAGTCAGCGTTATGCCCAAGGTAGATGCACGTTTGAGTTTTGGGGCCAAGCTTGCCACCTTGCCGCCGCCGAGCCTGGGGGTTGAGGAGGACATAGGCGGTGCACCGCCAGACGCAAAGGGGGCGAGCAGTGGGTGTTTTCCCGAGCCAGAGTGGGGTGGGAGTGGTGTCGGGAAGATGCGGGTGGGGGTAGAGGTTGTAGAGGAGGGCGGCATGATAGAGGGTGTACCCCCAGAGTGAGAGTGGTGCGTTGGAGTGGCTGAGGAGGCAGCGAGCGATCTGCACCAATGTGTGATTTCGGCTCTCTGCTATGCCGTTCTGCTGCGGGCTGTCAGAAAGGGTGAAGTTTTGCAGGATGCCAAGGGAGGAGCAGAAGGCTTTGAGCTTGTCGTTGCAAAATTCACCACCACCATCCGAATGGAGGCGCTTGACCTTGGACCCAAAGGTGGTCTGTGCCTGGTTAACCCACGCCATGATGGCCTCTGGAGCCTCAGCCTTAGTGTGGAGGAGGTGCACAGAGACGTAGCGAGAGTGGTCATCAACTATTGCAAGGAAATAGCGATGGCCGCCTCGTGCGGCAACAGGGGCAGGGCCCCAGACGTCCATGTGCACTATGTCCAGTGGGGCTGCAGCGACTGAGGGTGAGGCAGGGTGGGGTTGTGGCGCAGCTTGTTCTTGGTGTAGTCAAGACACGAGGGAGCGGGAGAGTCAGGTGGTGGAGGAAGTGATGCTGGTAGGCCGAGAAGAAGCTTCTTGGGGGCCATGTCAGCAAGCGTGCGGAAGTTCGGGTGCCCGAGCCGATGGTGGTAGAGGATGGTCGGGTTGGTGAAACTGCGACACGAACATGGTGTGGTAGCAGCCTTTGCTTGGGTGGTTGACACATGTGGGATAGGTACACGTAACGTGTAGAGGCCACAGCTGTTGAGGGTGAAGCGAGCTAAGACCTTGTTGGCGAGTGGGTTGATGATGTCACAGCAGTCCTCGTTCTCCGGGAAGATGGTGCGTGACCCTGCCTCCTGAATATATTTTTGAGCCACTAGAGTGTGGCGTTGTGAAGGCACGCACATGCCAGTGACTGTGCCGGATGGGAAGGCGGGGCACGGGACTGTGGACGAACCCTTGGCAAGAGTGGTGAAGCTTGAATCAGCTCCCAGGAGAGGAATGGGTGTTGCGTAGGGTTTGAAGAAGAGTGTCTCCTTGAGCACTGTGTGAGTGGCCCCGCTGTCGAGTGTGAATTCTATGTATTGTGGTGCTTGTGATGAGCCGATGTACTGCGAAGTTGCTTCATTAATCATGGCAGTGCAGAGGAACAACAAGTTGATGCGCACATCAGCAGGAGGACTATCACTAGCACTAGCCTGAGCGAGGTCCTGTGCCTCAACTAGGTTGGCCTTACGAGGGCGCATCCAATTCGGCGACTTCTTGTCGACTCCATGGATGGCATACCATTCGTCGTCTTTCTTCTTAAAGCACGTGGCGAGGGGGTGGTTAGTGCCACCACACACTTGTCCCATGCGGTTGCCATACTTGACGACGTAGGTGCACGGAGGGAAGCGGTTGCGCTGGAAGGGCACCGAGGCGACACTTGCTTGAGGCACGGGAGCGCGGAGGGCGTAGGCCTTGGCTTGAGCCGTGGTATCTTTCTCGGCGAAGAGGAGACCTTAGCAAAGGTGAGGTCTTCTGCCGAGAGTGTGAGGAGCATCTTCCTCGTGTCTTCGTATGCCGAGGTGAGGCCAACAAGAAGGGCGGCTGCAGGAGCTTGTTCGGGGAAGACGATACCCAGCTCCTTTAGCTTGCCATGGATGCTTTGCACCTTGGCGATGTAGTCGGCCATTCCCGGGCAATCCTCAAGGCGGACTTGAAACATACTAGGAATGAGGATGGCCACCCCGACCGCCGTTTTGTTCATGAACCTTTCCCGGAGATGCTTCCACATGGCGTTGGAAGTGGGGTAGTTGTGGAAAGTGTTGACAATTTCGGGAGGGGTGGAGCCGATGAAGACGCTGATGATAGCCGCATCGGCCTTCTCCCACTTGCGGTACTTGGTAACAGAATCCTCGTACTCCTGGGTTGCCACAGCATCGGAGGGATCGGACTGCTCTTTGGGGATGGGGGGCTGTTTTCCCTTGCCATGATTGAGAAGAACGTCCTTGAGGTCAAGTCCACCCACTTCACGACTCAGGAGGTGCTTGTCAACCCCGTAGCTTCATGCCTTGAAGTTGGAGCTAGTGCCGTCGGCTTCAAGGCGGAGCGGGGTGATGGGGTTGCAACAAGTCTAAATCCTCCCTCGCAAGGGCTCCGTCAGTTTGCTGTTAGCTTCTCCTAGCTGCTTGCTTCCTTGGTTGGGAAACGAATTGCAGTATTAAGAGAAACAAACAAGCAAAAAGCAAGGAGTCCGAGTGCTACTCCTGCCTATATCTACTCTCGCCTCCTGCCTAGGTTGCTCCCTCCACAAGCAAGCTCCTGTGCACCAAGCGAGTCAGCCGAGCTGCTCGCGAGGGCTCCAAGGTGCTAGCTGGTTCCCACTGGGCTTGCTAGGCATGCACCGCCTTCCAGCCTGGTGACTTCGAAATTGAATTCACAGGCTGGAATTGAATTCGCCTCCCACCATCCACCTTGAATTCGCCTCCCACCAACCACCTCGAAATCCCTCAGCTACTCGGCTCTGAAATTCGGACAGTACAGTACATTCCAAGCACACAAAAGACATTAGAATACAAACAAACAGAATATAGCCCAACATTACCTTAGCTGCTGTGCAATTCACACTTAGCTTGCGGCTAAGTGTTAATAGCGCGACAGCTGTCGTGAATTACTTCCCCGCTGGACTTAATCCTTGCCTTGTAACACCTTCCGCTTTCCTTTCACTCCTCAGTTTCCTGCTTCCTGTTCCCTGCCTCCGTAGTTCCCTGCTGCCCGTGTCTCAGGCTACCCTGCCCCCTCCCGTGCCTGAGCTCCAATGACAGCAGCTCTGGTCACGGGACCCAACGCCTGAGACCTCGCCCCTCCAGCCCTGGCCATGTTGGTAACGTGCTCCTTAATGCGTCCTCTCTGTTTGACTTCCAACACCAGCACCTCTGACTGCCTAGCTTCTTGCACCTTCCATGGTTCTGGACCAACCGCCAGATCTAAGGTGTCCCGCTTTGCTCTCCTCGCAAAAGCCTCTTGTCCTGCCACCACTTCTCCCTGGTGCTCTCCTGTCCCTCCGGATTTGTGCTGCTGACACTGCCTAGCATCCTGCAGCTGCGCTTCATGCCGATGGTGCTGCGCCGACATCTGCTCCTTCAGATAGCTAACTCTCCTCTGCACTTGTACTGCCCACAGCTTCGACTCGTCTGCCTCCACTGCGAGAAACTTTGGCGCACTAACCGATAACACAGTATCCCGCCCATTCAGCAGCTGGTAAGGGGACAGGTTCTTCAGCGCCGCTTGCTTGGCAAACCGATAGTCCGCCAGGACCCACCAGACCTGGTCCCAGTTCCTATGCACCCTTAGCATGACCTTCTCCTTCTCTTGCGGTCGCGGGACGCTCGTTCGTAGCTGTCGTTGATCCTGGTACCACCTGTAATGCTGCCCCCTCGCTCCCACTTGCTCGCTTACTACCGCTTGCTCCATTAGCTCCCCCTATTTCCAGCCCAGGGATTCCTTGTCATCCTCTACGTCCACTTGACGTATCTCCCCTTTCTCCTGCCCCCAGGTCCCTTCTGCCATTTGCACCACGGTTACCAGCTGTGCCACTGGCTGCATCTGACGCGGGTTCCGAGACAACCCGTCTGCGTGCGGCAGTGTTTTACCTGGCAGGTGGCATATCTCAAAGTCGAACCCCAGCAACTTGATTGCCCATCGGGCATTCCCTACAGTCAGCTCTTGATTCTTCATCCGCCACAACGGCGGCTGGTGGTCAGTCACCAAGGTGAAATGTCGGCCATGCAAACGAGTGATACCCCACCCTGCTGTCAGGCCCTCCTCTTCGTACGTGCAGCAGTTGGCCTCCGTGAGGCTGCAGCTGCGGCTGGCAAATGCTACCATTCGCTCCTCACCGCCTATCTCTTGACATGGCACTGCCCCCATCCCCAAGCAGCTCCAGTCGGGGGTGAGCCTAAGCTCCAGCTTCTTCCCTTTGTACCTTCCCAGCTCCTGCAGGTAGATGCCTCTGTACCGCTGTAGTACTTGTCTGATAGCCTCTGCTGCCCCCTTCCCTATGTCCGCTCCCCGTTCCCAATCCTCACTCGGTGCTGCTTCTATGGTCCCTGGTCCCGCCTTTGAGGTTTCTCCTTTGGTTGCTGGCTTCTCAACTGCCGCGTAGGCCGCTTGCTTGCAACCCTGATTCACCCTTCCTTCCTTTGTCTCTTTCTTCCCCTCTGGCCCATTTCGCATTTCTCTGACCAACCACTTCAGTGAAAGTTAATCTATAGCTCCGCCCAAGGCTTCTCTACGCCACTCCTCCCACACCCGGTTGCACTGATGCTGCAGAGGGTGCTCAGGTTTCCTCTCCGGCGCCGCTACCCGCCCTGGTTCGAGAATGTCTTCCACACTCCTGTTCTCATCCCTCTCCATCCTTGCCAATCTTGCCCGCAGTTCTCCCTCAGGCAGCACATTCTGCGAGTATCGCTTCACCCTATGATACCTGGCTCCCGCCTTGGCAGCGTCCCAGCTTACGCCCTTCCCCAACTGCTCCTCTACTAGCTCTCGCACTGCCCGCACTGGCTCCCGCGCGTCACCTCTCATGTCCACATGCTCTAATACGTAGGCATAGTCCCCCCCTTCTTCTTTCATCCACTTCATAACCTCCATCAGCTTCTGCACCAGCCCGGTTCGCTTATCTTGCGTTCCTCTGCCTTTTCCCGCCCTCGAGGTACTTTGACATTCCCACCCTGCCACCAGCAAGTTCACCTCCCCCCAATCCTTCACTTCCTGCCTTGTGATGTGCCTCATGTCCCACTTCCTTCTCCGCATTGCCTCTCTCAGCACCTTCTTTGTTAGTTGGGCTGGGTGGCGCTCTTGCAGCAACCGAGCGTGCCTCCATGCCATCTTTCGCACCTCTGGGTCTATCTCCACATAATGCCATCTCTTTATTTTCAGTCCCGCTTCCAGCGCTGCTGTCAAGCCTGCCACTAATCCCCCGAACAACTCCACCAGCGTGATGCTGTATTTCTCTGAATTCACTGGTGGTTGCACTGCTTCTGCCTCTGGGCTTCCCCTGCCTCCTTCTCCTCCTATGCCCCCAGCTCTCCAGGCCGTCTTCGGCTCTGTCCTGACGAAGCGTACTGGCAGTTCACCCCGCTCACTGTCCTCCTTCCCGTACTCGGTATAGTATAAGACTCGCTCCTGCCATGTGCAGATCGTTGCTCCCACTTTGTACATAAGCTCCATCCCCAGCAGTAGGTCGTAATCGTCTGACTCGGTCAAGCCACACTGCGCCAGAATCTTCGTCTCTCCCTTTTCTCCCGGCCGCAGTGTTATCTCTATGGGCTCCTTGGTGCAAGCTTCATCAGCTCGCGTTCTAGTTGCAGCTCCCTGGAGGGCTTCCCTTTTCCTCTCTCACCCTTGCTGTAGCATCTTTCTTCCGTGCGCCCCCTCTTTCCACACCCCGTGCAGATGGGGGTCTTGGGGCAGTTGCGCCTGAAATGCCCCTCTACCCCACACGTGTCACACACAATCCCTACCGCACAATCCCTCCTCACGTGCCTCGTCTCCCCGCACTTGTGGCAGCGCCGTGAGTCCTCTGTTGGTCTCTCTCTACGCTCTTCTTCACTTCGCCTCTCTTCGACAGCTCCCAAGGCTGGCCTTCTCCGATCGCTTGGACGGCTCAAGTCTACTCCTCGCATTCCTTCAAAGAATCTTCGTCCCTCCTCCACCTCCTTCGCCACCTGATACACTTGCCGCAACTTCGCTCTCATCCCCATAGAGTACAGCCGTGACTTCATGTCGTGCATCAGGTCATCCTCCAGGCCTCCCAAGAACTTGGTCACTAGTGTTCTTTCCTCCAGGCAGCACATGTCTTCAGTGAGCTCCACCAATCGGTTGTAGTACGCGAGCAGTGACTCCGTCCTACCCCTCTTGAAGTCCTGGAATTCCAGCATTCGCTCAGCCGAATGTCCCGGGAACTGCTCCTGCAGCATCTCAAAATATCTGTCCGTTATCTCTCCTGCAGGAAAGGCTCCCCGGCGGCACTGCATCAGCAACCCCTGTCTCTCCACTCGGTAATGGGTCTGGGCTTCTCCCTTCAGCGTTTTCCCGAGACCGCGAAAGAATTCAATTGGGTCCAGTCCTTCTCTGTCCCAGCAGTAGCGTAGGTCGTCTACCATCATCATGTAATTCTTGAGCGAGGGCTCTTCTCCTGGTGCCCCAGAAAATCGATCAGGCACCTCTATCAATGGTGCAGCCCAACCCATGCTTCGCCCTGTCTCCCAGCTCCAGCCAGGTCGGGGTTCATCTCCTCCCCTTGCCGCCGCGCTGCGATCCGCTGGGTGATGTTCGTAAGCCTCTCCCTCAGATCGTCCTCTTGGCACGTTGCGTCCTGGTTCTCCTCTCGGTGCCCCACGCTGGAAGCCTTCTCCTGATCCAGCTCCGCTCCTGTGTTCTGGCGAGTTGCAGAAAGTGCTCGCCGCCTTTTCGCCCTCTTTGTCACCCCGACTAGGTGATTCCGTGACCTTGTCACCATGCTCGACATGACCGCCCTCCTCTACTCTGAATCGCTGCCTGACTGGTGGTTGTCCACCCCCTTCCATCGCCCTTGCAGGATAACGCTGTCCTGATATGAGCTGATGTGCATGCAGATCAAAATCTGCGCCACTCATTCCTCACGGCCTAGTTACGCCGTAGTGCACCTCCGGGCATTCAGCCCCGTGCCTAGCCTTTTTGCTTGTATGCAACAAGTCTAAATCCTCCCTCGCAAGGGCTCCGTCAGTTTGCTGTTAGCTTCTCCTAGCTGCTTGCTTCCTTGGTTGGGAAACGAATTGCAGTATTAAGAGAAACAAACAAGCAAAAAGCAAGGAGTCCGAGTGCTACTCCTGCCTACATCTACTCTCGCCTCCTGCCTAGGTTGCTCCCTCCACAAGCAAGCTCCTGTGCACCAAGCGAGTCAGCCGAGCTGCTCGCGAGGGCTCCAAGGTGCTAGCTGGTTCCCACTGGGCTTGCTAGGCATGCACCGCCTTCCAGCCTGGTGACTTCGAAATTGAATTCACAGGCTGGAATTGAATTCGCCTCCCACCATCCACCTTGAATTCGCCTCCCACCAACCACCTCGAAATCCCTCAGCTACTCGGCTCTGAAATTCGGACAGTACAGTACATTCCAAGCACACAAAAGACATTAGAATACAAACAAACAGAATATGGCCCAACATTACCTTAGCTGCTGTGCAATTTACACTAAGCTTGCGGCTAAGTGTTAATAGCGCGGCAGAAGGCCATGACGAAGAACCCTTTAGGTCTCGCGCGAAGCGCCGCTCTTAAGTCACCGATAGGAACTTCCGGTTTAGGGTTTTCGAAGGAGAGTTGTAAAGTAGGGTTTATGAAGGAGAATTGTAAGGTAGGGTTTACAAAGGAGAATTGTGAAGAAAGGTTTAGCGATTTCGAAATCCAGCGAAAAACGTCAATGTCGGCCGCCGATTTCAGAACTGTCGACTAACCCTAGTCCCTCCCGGCCCTGTCCCTCTGCTTCGCGGCTTCGCTGCTACACAGCTGCTCAGCTACACATGTTCAGCTGCGGAGAGATAGAAGTGCCGATGCAAGGCGACGGGCGGCGGCCCGAAGATGACGCTGCAGGGCGACGGGCGTCAGCCCGACGTGAAGCTGCAGGGCGACGGGCGGCAGCCCGAAGGTGACGCTGCAGGGCGACGGGCGTCAGCCCAACGTGAGGCTGCAGGGCGACGGGCGGCAGCCCGACGAGAAGTGACGCTGCAGGGTGACGGGCGGCAGCCCGAAGATTGACGAGATGAGAAGAATAGGGTTACGCCGAAGCGAGAAAAAAAGCAGGACAGAACCGCGGTGATTTGGGGTGAATGGCGAGTAAACGCTAGTGACGGTTACCTTTAGCGAAGTGCAGAAACCGATGCACCGTGACTGTGGAAAAGGTAGCACGAGAGAGAATCTGCCCACGGAAGATGTCGCGAATCACAGCGACGAGGACGGCGCGGGAGAAATTCCGGTTGGGAAGATTAGGTCGATGACGATCCTTAACGTCGAGCGATGAATGTTGACGGCGGCTTCGCCTAGGAGTGCGGGAGAGGATTCCGCAAAGGTAGTAGGATCAAGATCCGTGTGTGCGGTTGAAAAGCTCTGATACCATGTCAGAACTCGAGCTTAGAATCCATACATTAGTAATGAGCTCGAAGCTCTTTAAGTACATCCAGGATGGGCAAGGAAAGGATGGGGAAGGGAATCAGGGGGCAATCTCTGGGGATTGGGGGTAATCCCAAGGCAATCTCCAATTGGTGGGTTGGAGATTGCTTGGATGGAGATCACTTTGGGTTTGGTTGGGATGTAGGTGTACACCCAACCAAACACAACGTGCAAACTACACTACGCTAGGATATAGAAAGTACAAAATACTAAGTGTGAGAATGAGGTCTAACACGAACAGACTTCTCAGACGCCCATGGGTAAATTTTGCAAGGGCTTTCATGATTCATCACCAAAGGTATTTCTCTCGGCTGGTTGCTTGTTCCCTTTTGTGCATTCCTTTGTTGCTTCTTCAATTGCTCTCCATTCCGTTTGTGTCGTATGGTCTTTCGCGATGGCCCAATGCACCGTTTCCCATCACGGGCCTTGCCTCACCAGGTGAGGCTCACCTCATGAGTCAAGCCTGCCTGTGCGCCGCGTTTCCCCAAGCTTGAGATATCCGCATCATGTGACTCAAGGCAGGCAATGACGCTCTGTGCCTTTATAGATTGAACCTCACCTGCCCCATGTGCCCCACATGTGCCCCACATGTGCCCCACATGTGCCCCACATGTGCCCCACATGCCCTCATGCCCCACATGCCCACATGCCACATGCCCCACGTGCAGAGGTCTGTACGGCAAGGGTCTCAGCGGCAGCATACCCACCAGCATTGGCGCCCTCCCTGAGCTGCGATTCCTGTGAGTGGCTGGCCGGACTGTGGCGTGGAATACTGAGGTGTCTATGTTGAGGCGCCTCAAAAAGCAAACCCACCAGCATTGGCGCCCTCCCTGAGCTGCAATTCCTGTGAGTGGCTGGACCGTGGATTACTGAGGCGCCTCATCAAAACACACATTGCCACCTCCCTGGGCTGGGCTTGGGCTTTCTGTGAGTGGATGGCTAGCTAGCTACTACTAGCCACCACCACTGTGACCGTGTTTTAAGTTGACTGAAATAAGGCTGGGCTTTTTGTGACTGCCAACCGGGTTCCGTGCCAACTGGGCTCTGTCTCTTCCTTTCCTCTCTTTCTGCCATCCAACACTCTTATACCCTCGCTTACTCCCTGCCCTCTCTCCCTCCCTCCCCCACAGGATGCTGGGAAACGCACTTTTGAGGCAACTCAAAACGCATCCTTCCTCTCTCCCAGTGCACTCTTTGCAGAGAAAGAACCCCTGGCAAGGAATCAGCTTACAAAGGCCCCCTTCTCACCGTTCTTTGATATTTGAGTCGACTCATAAGAAACCCACTTTCTTCTCCTCCTCCCATTGCACCCCCTGCCCAGGGACCTATCAAGGAACCAGCTTACAGGGCCCCTCCCGCCGTCCTTTGCCAACCCTGGTGGTCTGGAGGATCTGTAAGGAGCGGGGGAGGAGGTGGAGAGGGATTCGGGTGGGTGAGGTTGGGTTAGGGTTGTATTGGGATTGGATAGGCAGTGGGGTTTGGATGGGGGACGGGGGTGAAAAAGCGGGTATTTCTTACTCAAAGGGGGGGTGGATGGAAAAGCGGGGAGAGGGGAGGAGGTGGGTGGGAATGAGGTAGGGGCCTTCTGAGAGAGTAATCTTGTAATGGATCCGCTTTTGGGAATCGATTGTGGACTTGTATGTGAATGATGTTTGTTGAAGGATGGGCACTGAGTGATATGCACTGAGTGAGTGATATGCACTGAGTGAGTGATATCCACTGAGTGATGGGCACCGGAACTGAAGGGTATGCTATTTTTAAGATTGAAATAGGTGGACATGGGCGAGGGAGAAGATTGATGTCATGCTTGCGTCATCCTGATGTCATGCTTGCGTCATCCTGATGTCATGCTTGCATCATGCTGATGCCATACATGCTATGCTGACGTCAAGCTGATCTTGTGTTTGGTGAGTGTCGGGGGGATGCATAGCATGGTGTTTGATGTGCCGTGTCTCGTTCACATGAGTTTTGAGTCTACTCCTAAAGATTTGCGGCCTTTGAGAGTTCTCAAAAGCGATTCCCAAATATTCTTAACGATTTGCCGCCCAGCTCACAATGAATGGGCGGGTGGGTGGTTGTGTGGATAAGAATGATGATGCACACATACATGGATGGAGTGATGCACACATACATGGAATGATGCACACATACATGGAATGATGCACACATACATGGAATGATGCACACATACATGGAATGATGCACACATACATGGAATGATGCACACATACATGGATGCATGCAGGGACCTCAGTTACAACCAGCTCAGTGGCTCCATACCTGCAGACTATAGCAGGCTTGCAGGCCTGCTGCGACTGTGAGTGCTACACCGGGAGTGGGTGTTGCGACTGGGAGTGAGTGCTACAACTGGGAGTGTTACAACTGGGAGTGTTACAACTGGGAGTGTTACAACTGGGAGTGTTACAACTGGGAGTGTTACAACTGGGAGTGTTACAACTGGGAGTGTTACACTGGGAGTGAGTGTTGCAACTGGGAGTGGGTGTTACAACTGGGAGTGGGTGTTACAACCGGGAGTGGGTATTGCGTGCTCTCTCTGTATCACATTAGCTTCATGCTTGCATGGACGCCAATCCTGGCAATCCACACTTCCATTCACCCCTCGTTCTCCTGCGCTTCCAGTGACCTGTGCCACAGGCACTCACTAATTTCACCGGGCCCATATATTTCAGGCGCACACACATTCACATGCTCTCACTGATTTCACCTCATTCGCATAAATACGGATTCGATATCCTTGTCGTTGTTGTTTGTGTAACCTTGTTGCTATACAAGTATCGCCATGTTGCGTCATGTGTATGTGTGGTACACATGTCGCATCACATACGTGTTACACAAGTAGCACCTCACACGTGCCACGTCACAGTGTTGTTAGGGCGCGGCACCATTTTGCTAAACGTTAAAAGGTCGAACCGGGTGCGACGCGGTCCGTCTGATTGCGACATTTTGCTACGTCGCACGGAAGAAATGCGATGCGACTCGTACGATGTCGCATAAAGTTTGACGACTTGTGACGACACCTGTTACCAGCCCACAGTCCGAACCGTCGCTGGTTCGAACCATTAAGCAGAAAAATGGTGCCGCGCGCTTATATCCATCAACAGACCCCACCATGTTCTCCTTCTCCTTTGCTTCCACGTTGTTTCTCTTCCCATCCATCTATTCTCTTCTTTGTTGTTCCGTCTAACCAGCCATTCCATCTCCCTGTCCCTGCCCTTGTCTCGCCTCGCCATATCCTTGTTCAACACCCCCACTTCCCCATCCTATCCTCCCCCTCTCACACCCTATCCATCCTCCTTTCTTCCTCTCCCTCCCTATCCACCCGCCCACCCCCTTCTCTCTCCCACCGCCTCTTACCCCCCTGCATGCCCCACCCCAAAATCTTCCATGTGCTTTGCGTGCCTCTCTCTCCGTGCTGCATGGCATGGAATCAGGCGCCTGAACGACAACCAGCTCTCAGGAGCCATACCAGAGGACATGCTTCCAGCCATGTCCAACGTTAAAATCTTGTATGTTTCACTGTTACAGGGCTGAGAGGGTCGATGAACCCAATGCTCAACCCAGGCTGTAACAACACCTCCTTTTGAGCCCCTTTTTGATGCCATTTTCAGGAGCCATCCCTGAGGACAAGCTTCCATTCCAGTTCCAGTCATGGCCAACCTTGTAACAAACACCACAGCGGCTAACTAGTTGTTCCATCCTTCTTACTTGCTTTTTGATGCTTCCTGCCATTTTGAACCAAGGTCCCATAACAGTGCTGTGTGTGTTTGCCCGTACGCCATTGCCATTCCCTCCCTTCCCCCCCCCCACCACACCCTCTCCCCACCCTTCCCCACACTCCCTGCCACCTCTGTTTCGGACTGCCTTTCGCCTCTGCCCCCATGCGTCTCTGTTGCCCGCGCAACTTGTATCCCTTTTAACCCCATAGTCTTATGGCTGCTGTTTTCGAAAGTTCACAGCATGTTGGGTGCTTGCCTTGGCATAAACTGGAGTACAGTTTGTTTTTTACTGTCCCCCCCCTCTCTTTCCCCAACCCCCTCCTCCCGCCCCCCCCCACTCGCAACCCCCCCTCCCCCCATCTCTTGTTTCTAGGATTCTATCCTCCTTGTTTACCCATGACTATTTATCCAGACCAGTCTTGCTGTTTCTATCTTTCAGCTCTTCATACCCCCCCCAACCCCCCCCTTTTTTTCGTCCCCCCCAACTCCCCCCTCCGCCTCCCGCCTCCCCCCCCCCCCCCCCCCCGCCCCCCCTCCTCTCTTCCTTCCTCCCCCTCGCCTCCACCTTCCTTACCCCTCTCCCCTTCCCCCAACCCTTCAACCCCTTTCCCTCGTCGTTCCTGCCCTTCCCTGCATTTCTCTGTCCCCCACTCCTGACGCTCACCCTCCTCCTCATCTCCCCCCCCTTTCCCCCCCCCCCCCCCCCCTTCCCCCCTTTCCCCCTCTCTCACCCTCCATGCCTCCCAGTCTCCTCCACAACAACCAGCTCACGGGCTCGATTCCTGCCAAAATAAACATGTTGCTACCTCTTGAACAGCTGTAAGGCTCTGTTTCTGAGGCGCCTCATAAGTTTTCGGGCTCTTTTGCATGTTGCAACCCCATTCCGAAACTGTTTGGCTCTAGCCTCGAAGGCTCGCAGGCACCATGCGGCCATGCCCATACGGTTCGTCTTAACGTTGCGGAGGTGATCAACGAAGTGCATGCCTCTGCCTCTGCCTCTGCCTATGCCTCTGCCTATGGCACTGTGGCATCATATCATACCAGCATGGTATGAGCGCAACTTGACTGTGCTGCTGGATTGACCATCTCTGTGTTATGTGACTGATTCGTCCATTGAATAAACGACCATGCTTCGTGCCGTTTGCTGGATCGGCCATCATGCTTCGTGGCCCTCTAAGCCTGTGAGGGACCTCACCTCACCTCACCTCACCTCACCTCACCTCTGCGGAGATTCACTCTACAACGGTGGGAGCTAGACTATGGGGTTGGCACGAGTTGTGAGTGCGATCGTAGCTTTGCCTGCGTTCTCTAACACTTGCACATTCACGAAAAGAATTGGCAAGAGTTTCACTAGCAAAGTTGGGATTACAGAATGATCGCAAAAGCAATGGCAAGAATGACTACATCAGAGCCTAGCAACCTAGCAGGCAAGCTGGTCGACCACCAGCACAGCAAGGTCGACATCTGCCAGCGTTGCGTAGAGGAACCGCGCCAGCGTTGCAGAAGAGCGACCTGCCAACAGAGCAGGTCGACGGCGTGCCAACGCTGCAGCAAGGCGGCCGTCCGGCGTTGCACCCGCAGATGACAGTGTTAGTGTTAGCCCTCAATCTCACATTTTGTACTTGAACTTATATATCCTAGTGTAGTGTGCACTTTGTGTTTGGTTGGGTGTACACCCACATCCCAACCAAACCCAAATGTGATCTCCAAGCAATCTCCAATCCATCAATTGGAGATTGCCTTGGGATTACCCCCAATTCCCTAGGATTGCCCCCGATTCTCTCCCCATCCATACCTTGCCCATTTCCGATGTACATAAAGAGCCTTGAGCTCATTACTAATGCATGCATTCTAAGCTCAAGTTCTAACATGGAATCAGAGCTCTTCAACTGCACACGCGGATCTTGATCCTACTACCTTTGCGGAATCTTCTCCCGCACTCCTAGGCGAAGCCGCCGTCAACATTCATCGCTCGAAGTTAAGGATCGTTATCAACCTAATCTTCCCGGCCGGAATTTCTCCCGCGCCGTCCTCGTCGCTGTGATTCGCGACATCTTCCGTGGGCAGATTCTCTCTCGTGCTACCTTTTCCGCAGTCACGGTGCATCGGTTTCTGCACTTCGCTTAAGGTAACCGTCACTATCGTTTGCTCGCCATTCACCCCAAATCACCACAGATCTGTCCCGCTTTTCTTCTCGCTTCGGCGTAACCCTACTCTTCTCATCTCGTCAATCTTCGGGCTGCCGCCCGTCGCCCTGCAGCTTCACTTCTCGTCGGGCTGCCGCCCGTCGCCCTGCAGCTTCACGTCGGGCTGACGCCCGTCGCCCTCCAGCGTCACCTTCGGGCTGCCGCCCTTCGCCCTGCAGCTTCACGTCGGGCTGACGCCCGTCGCCCTGCAGCGTCATCTTCGGGCCGCCGCCCGTCGCCCCGCATCGGCACTTCTATCTCTCTGCAGCTGAACAGGTGTAGCTGAGCAGCCGTGTAGCAGCGAAGCCGCGAAGCAGAGGGACAGGGCCGGGGGGGGGACTAGGGTTAGTCGACAGTTCTGAAATCGACGGCCGACATTGACGTTTTTCGCTCTTCGGGACCTTCGGATTTTGAAATCGCTAAACCTTTCTTCACAATTCTCTTTCGTAAATCTTACCTTACAATTCTCCTTCATAAAACCCACCTCAAAATTCTCCTTCATAAACCCTACTTTACAATTCTCCTTCGAAAACCCTAAACCCGAAGTTCCTATCGGTGACTTAAGAGCGGCGCTTCGCGCGAGACCTAAAGGGTCCTTCGTCATGGCCTTCGCCTCGGCCAGTCTCGCCAACCCCATCACCCCGCTCCGCCTTGAAGCCGACGGCGCTAGCTCCAACTTCAAGGCATGGAGCTACCGGGTTGACAAGCACCTCCTGAGTCGTGAGGTGGGTGGACTTGATTTCAAGAACGTTATTCTCAATCATGGCAAGGGGAAACAACCCCACATCCCCAAGGAGCCGTCCGATCCCTCCGATGCAGTGGCAACCCAGAAGTACGAGGATTCTGTTGTCAAGTACCGCAAGTGGGAGAAGGCCGATGCGGCTATCATTAGTGTCTTCATCGGCTCCACCCCTCCCGAATTTGTCAACACTTTCCACAACTACCCCACTTCGAACGCCATCTGGAAGCATCTCCAGGACAAGTTCATGAACAAGACGGCGGCCGGGGTGGCTATTCTCATTCCGAGTATGTTTCGAGTCCGCCTTGAGGATTGCCCGGGAATGGCCGACTACATTGCCTAAATGCAAACCACCCATGGCGAGCTCAAGGAGCTGGGAATCATCTTTCCCGAAGAAGCTCTTGCAACCGCCCTTCTTGTTGGCCTCACCTCGGCATACGAAGTCACGAGGAAGATGCTCCTCACATCCTCGGCGAAAGACCTCACTTCTGCTAAGGTCTCCTCCGCCCTCCTCTCTGCCGAGAAAGACTCCACGGCTCAAGCCAAGGCTTACACCCTCCGCGCTCCCGTGCCTCAAGCAGGTGTCGCCTCGGCACCCTTCCAGCGCAACAGCTTCCCTCCGTGCACCTACGTCGTCAAGTATGGCAACTGCAAGAGACAAGTGTGTGGTGGCACCAACCACCCCCTCGCTACGTACTTCAAAAAGAAAGACGACGAATGGTATGCCATCCACGGAGTCAATAAGAAGCCGCCGAACTGGATGCGCCCTCGTAAGGCCAACCTAGTTGAGGTCCAGGACCCCGCTTCGGCTAGTGCTAGTGATAGTGCTCCTGCTGATGTGCGTATCAACTTGCTGTTCCTTGGCACTGCCATGACTAATGAAGCAAGCTCCCAATACATCAGCTCATCACAAGCACCACAATACATAGAATTCACACTCGACAGTGGTGCCACTCACACAGTGCTCAAGGAGACACTCTCCTTCAAACCCTACTCTACACCCATTCCTCTCTTAGGAGCTGATTCAAGCTTCACCACTTTTGCCAAGGGTTCGTCCACTGTCCCATGCCCCGCATTCCCATCCGGCACTGTCACTGGCATGTGCGTGCCCTCACTACGCCACAATCTATTGGCCCAAAAGGAACTTCAGGAGGCTGGGCTCCGCACCATAATCTCGGAATACAAGGACTATTGTGACATCATTGACCCACTCACCAACAAGGTCTTAGCTCGCTTCACCCTCAACAGCAGCAGCCTCTACACACAGTGTGTACCTATCCCATAGGTGTCAACCACCCAAGCACAGGCTGCTATCACACCATGCTCATGTCGCAGTTTCTCTAACCCGACCGTCCTCTACCACCATCGGCTCGGGCACCCAAACTTCCGCACGCTTGCTGACATGGCCTCCAAGAAGCTTCTTCTCGGCCTGCCAGCCTCACTTCCTCCACCACCTTACTCGCCCGCTCCCACGTGCCTTGACTGTACCAAGAGCAAGCTACGCCAACAGCCCTACCCTGCCTCACCCTCAGTAGCAGCAGCCCTATTAGATCTAGTGCACATGGACGTTTGGGGCCCTGCCCCGGTTGCCGCACGAGGTGGCCATCGCTATTTCCTTTTGATAAGTTGATGACCACACTCGCTACGTCTCTGTGCACCTCCTCCACACTAAGGCTGAAGCTTCAGAGGCCATCATGGCATGGGTTAACCAGGCACATACCTCCTTTGGCACCAAGGTCAAGCGCCTCCATTCGGATGGTGGTGGTTAATTTTGCAACACCAAACTTGAAGCCTTCTGCTCCTCTCTCGGCATTCTGCAAAACTTCACCCTTCCTGACAGCCCGCAGCAGAACGGCATAGCGGAGAGCCGTAATCACACTTTGGTGCAAATCACTCGCTGTCTCCTCAGCCACTCCCACGCACCACTCTCGCTCTGGGGGTACGCCCTCTACCATGCCGCCCTCCTCTACAATCTTTATCCCCACCCGCATCTCCCCGACACCACTCCCACCGCGCTCTGTCTTGGGAAAACACCCACTTCTCGCCCCCTTCGCGTCTGGGGATGCACCGCCTGTGTCCTCCTCAACCCCCAGGCTCGGCGGCGGCAAGGTGGCAAGCTTGGTCCCAAAAGTCAAACGTGCATCTAACTTCGGCATAACGCGGACTCCCCTGACTACCTTTTCCTCAACCCCTCCACTCAACAACTAGTCCGGAGCCACGATGTCGTCTTTCATGGGACTCGCCCCTTTTACACCACCTCGGGGGGGATTCCCCCTCCGGACCACCCTCCCTTGTGTGGGCTGACTTTGATGCCCCTCCTGTACTTCCGCCTGCACCAGCTCCCTCACCTCCTACCTCTCCTGCCATCGCACCATCTCCGTCTGAGGTCTCTGACCCGACCTTTCCGGTGTCATCGGCAGCTGCTCCTCCACCCCCCCCCTCTACCACTCTACCAAATGCGCACCAATCACATACCATCGGCGGTCGAACCCTCCAGCCCCACCTCCTCCCCCGCTTCTCCGGTGGCTCATGGCACTCGGTCGCATGGGGCTGCTCCTCCACTGGCACTTGCCATTCGATGCACAGTGATCACTCCGACTCTTCCTGCTGGGGGGGATGTGCCCTCTACCCTTCTGGAAGACAGGCATGAGGAGCTGTGTGATCTCCACGCTGTCATTCCTCAGCTCTCGCACATCTTCCCCAATATCACTGAATCACCCTCGCTCAACTTCTCGGAGAACCCGACCATCCCTATCCCTCTCACCGTCCAAGAGGCTCTTTCGGGTCCCCATGCTGCCGAGTGGCGCGCTGCCATGGAAGTTGAGTGTGAAGCCTTCACTCGCAACCACTCCTTCGACGACGAAACTCCACCTCCAGGAGTTAACATCGTTGGGGGCAAGTGGCTGTTTCGAGTGAAGCAGCTTCCGGACGAGGCCCCAGTGTTCAAAGCGCGCTATGTGGCCAAGGGATTCACTCAGCAGCAGTACTTTGACTTCTTCAAAACCTTCTCTCCCACATCCAAACCAACCACAGTTCGCACGCTCTTAGATGTAGCCGTACGAAAAGACTTTGAGATCAAATCCATGGACGCCTCCTCGGCATTCCTGCAAGGACACCTCAAGGAGACTGTGTTTATGGACCGACCTGAAGGCTTTCCAGGAGAGTTCCCTCCCAACACTGTCTGGAAGCTGAATCGCTCTGTTTATGGCCTCAAACAAGCCCCTCGTGAATGGCACAACAAAGTGAAAGAAGTCCTTCTCTCATTGGACTTTCACCCATCATCTGCTGACCCGACTGTCTTCATTCGCCGTCACTCTGAGCCATTCTACATCCTTGTCTACGTCGATGACTTCATCCTCGTTGCCAAGGACTCGGCCCAGATGACCTCTGTCCAGGCGACCCTGAGCAAGGCCCTCCTGATGGAAGACCTCGGTGACCTCAAGCACTACCTGGGGATGGAGATCACTCGTGATCGCTAGGCTCGCACTATATCACTCTCCCAAGAGTTCTACATCAAAAATGTGCTCAAGCGCTTTGAGATGGAGTTGTGCACACCCATGGCCACCCCGCTGCCACTGCAGCACCTCCTCACAGCTCCAGCTGTTCCCACACCGGAGGCCTGCTCCGAGCCATACCCAGAGCTTGTTGGGTCCCTCATGTACGCCATGATGTGCACCCGGCCTGACCTGGCATACCCTGTCAGTGTTCTCTCTCGTTATGTGGCTCTCGGACGCTTCACCGATCTCCACTGGAGTGCGGCGAAGCGGGTGCTGCGCTATCTGAAGGGCACCAAGTCTCATGTACTCACACTTGGTGGTCTTTCTCCTCCTCGCCTGGAAGGCTACACTGACTCCTTTTGGGCTGATGACCAGACTGACCGACGCTCCTCCCAGGGCTACTGTTTCACCCTTGGTAGTGGAGTTGTTAGCTGGCGCTCCACCAGGTCATTTGCAGTCTCCCTCTCCTCCTGTGAGGCAGAGCTTTACGCTGTCACCATGGCGGCTCAAGAGGCCCGTTGGCTCACCTTCCTCCTCCAGGAGCTTGGCTACCCTCAGCCCACCCCCACCCTCTGGTGTGACAACAAGAGTACTATACACCTTTCCCAGGATCCTGTGTACCACACTCGCACCAAGCACATCGAACTTCGCCACTTCTTCATTCGTGACCTTGTCCAGCGTGAACAGTTGAACGTGGAGTACGTTGCATCTGACTGCAACCTGGCTGATCTGTTCACCAAGCCCCTTGGGAAGGTTCCTCACCATCGTCTCCTTGGCACCATGGGGCTATGTGCCCTACGTTCTCCACCTTGAGCTCGATTGACGTCTATGGGGGGGTGTTAGTGTTAGCCCTCAATCTCACATTTTGTACTTGCACTTTTATATCCTAGTGTAGTGTGCACTTTGTGTTTGGTTGGGTGTACACCCACATCCCAACCAAACCCAAATGTGATCTCCAAGCAATCTCCAATCCACCAATTCCGTAGGATTGCCTCCGATTCTCTCCCCATCCATACCTTGCCCATTTCCGATGTACATAAAGAGCCTTGAGCTCATTACTAATGCATGCATTCTAAGCTCAAGTTCTAAGAGACAAGCAGTGCACACGCGCGCACCTACTTCGCAGGTGCCTGCAGACAGTTGGCCCGACGTGCACCGTCACGTGTCATGTCGGCTGTTGTCTGCGCCTGATCAGCCACATCGACCTCGGGATACCAGCCCGAGGTCGCCTTCGCCATCGCAGCCTCGACGAGCTTCGCGTGCCTCCGCAGAACCTCGTCGAGGAGGTTACTTGGTCGACCGGGTACCACCACCCGGCGCCCTGGTCAAACCCACACCATCGACGGCTCCTCGACAGACCCGCGTAGGTCGACGACCACCTTCGTCGACCTCCCGTGTAGAAGAGAATCGGGGGCAATCCCTAGATAATTGGGGGTAATTCCAAGGCAATCTTCGATTTGTTAATACAGAATTAAATTTCTGTATTTCAATCAGCCGGTTTTCCTGGGGGAGTGAACAACACTATTTCAAGCGGCAGCTGAAGTGATGAAGCGAGTCTCCTACAACCGAGGGTTCAAATGCTCAGTTTTACTTCGACCAATGGGAGCAGTCGATTCTGCTAAAAAACGACAGTTCGGAGTTCAAAATCCGATTCGGCCAATGACAACGGCGAAATCTGCTCACGCGGCGGGTTCATAATTGTTCAGAGCGCCGCTGTTCGGAACACTGCTGTTCAGAACGCTGCCGTTCGGAACACTGCTGTTCGGAACGCTACTGTTCGGAACTCTGCTGTTCAGAACGCTACGGTTCGGAACACTGCAGTCGGAACAATGCTGTTCAGAATGCGACTGGTCGAGCGAGATGATTGGGTACCGCTCGAGCAGCTTGCTCGCGTGCACTGAACTGCTGACACGGCAGCTGCACAGAACACAAAGCGCGAGCACACCTGCTTGTGCGTTTTGAGCGAGACGTTTTCCTGCCAACCCAGCTCGCTGGTGGAATTTCGAGCTTGACCTTTTGAACACCATTTGAACGGACCGATCCGAGCCGTTACCAATATGGCGCGAAGTTTCCCTCCCGAATCGTGGTCGTCAAAATAAGTCTTGGCGCGAGCATTTTCGAAATGCCTCGCTGGCGAATCGCCAACCCGCCAAGTCACAAAATATTTTTTAACGAAACGCGAAATGCTCGCGCTGCGTTAACAATAGGAATTGTCTAGAGGTGTTAGAAAGTTAGCACTAGCAATAGCCTAGAGACTATATAAAATGTATGCTCTGATGTATGAAACACACTCTGCCTATCAAGCATTCTCCCACGCTACTATCAAGTTTATACTCTAACTATCAAGGATTCTCTGAATACGCCGCAACATAGGGCTTCCGCTGCTGCAGTTCTACGCCACTGAAATTCTCTTTCGACAAACTCGGACCCTTGGATAGGGGCTGACTTCGGTCAGGCGCCCAAGGACCCTCGGAGGTGACCCCGAGAAGAGTTTTTCAGCTATCGTGGCACTATCAGCAGTAGGAACTAAGTGACTTTCAAGTAGCACAATTGGTGGGTTGGAGACTGCTTGGTGATCACATTTGGGTTTGGTTGGGATGTGGGTGTACACCCAACCAACACTAAGTGCAAACTACACTAAGCTAGGATATAAAAAAATACAAGAACAAAAGTTCAGATTGAGGGCTAACACTAACAACACCAAGCACGCACGCTCGCATGCACGCACGCACGCACACTTACTCACACACCCAAACACACACTCAGACCCTTCATGCTTTTCTGAGGTCCTCAACCGTGTGGGTATGCTGCCGAGAACCCCGTTTCATCCCCACCCATGTGCCGCCAAATCCCCCTCCAGCTATCCAAGTACGCGGACCCCTCGTGCTTCACGTACAACCTGAACCACGTGGTGCTGCTGGTGGGCTATCGCCTCACCGGCTCAGACCCCACCTTCCCGCACATGGCGCCGCCCTTCTGGATCATCCGCAACTCATGGGGCCCGGAGTGGGGCGACGGCGGGCACATGCGGATGGACATCCAGGGGGGCGACGGCGTGTGTGGGATCAACACCCTGCCTGGGATCTACCCGGTGGTGCGCGCTGCCAAGGACCCCTGCAACGTCAACGGCACCAGCAGGGAGGAGTTTGGGTCTCTGTTCAACCCGTGTGGCAACTTCACGTGCACGGTTGATGGAAGCAGCAATCGCTGCGATTGCAACGACCCGCGGTTCGTGGAGGCTCGCAATCCTGACAACACACGCACCTGTGCTTATAGTGAGCATTCTTCAATACGCCTACTGTTGACAAATCCTTGGTGGTATCAAATAAGATAAGTGATTTTTCTTTCTTTTCAGTGCGGGTGTGCACGACCATAATGTACTAGGCTACCATTATTTGTAGCTTTTTCCCAGAACCTTAGGTCGATCTTAGTGCTCCTCCAACACCTTCCCTTATAGGGGTTTGAAATACAGGCTACTTTCGAGGTGCACAACAAGATTCGAGCTCATAATATTTGGCTCTACTTCCATCTCGTTTAAACTCGGTGCTAACCACTGAACTGAAATGGCTTGCTTCTTAGTGGGTGAGAACGCACATAACCCCCAAGTTGGAGATGGGCGACGTAATGAGTTTCTTAATTGCCTCGTTTTGGGCGAGTAACAGTGGGTGCAAGTAAACATGCACTTGCTGTTTAATAATTTAGAAAAATGAGTAAGAAAGTACTCGTCGTAGGTGCACAGCCACTGGCTGATATGACTCAGCCACAGGTGATTTTTGAGTCGACTCAAAAGTCATAGGTGCACACCAGACCATGTGTTTGATATGACTCAGCCACAGGCTCTCATTCTCCTCAAAGCACGCTCGTCTTGGCTATCCCTCTCTCTTACCTCTTGTCTTGTTCACCAGAGGATGCATGCAGGGCGGCGGTGCGCAACCCGTGTGCGGTGGGCACGTGTGTGAATGATGGCAAGGGGTCGTACTCGTGTGTGTGCCCTCCGGGTTTCAGGCAGGGCACCACCGTTGATGGCACCTTCTCCTGTGGCCCAGGTAACCTTCCCCTGTGCTCCAGGTAACCTTCTCCTGTGCTCCAGGTAACCTTCCCCTGTGCTCCAGGTAACATTCTCCTGTGCTCCAGGTAACCTTCTCCTGTGCTCCAGGTAACCTTCTCCTGTGCTCCAGGTAACCTTCTCCTGTGCTCCAGGTAACCTTCTCCTGTGCTCCAGGTAACCTTCTCCTGTGCTCCAGGTAACCTTCTCCTGTGCTGCAGGTAGCATTCATTTCTTGCACTCCGTATGCCGCTCTTGTACTGAAATTTAAATGCATCCTCTCTTTTTCACGGTATGCTACCACCAAGCGTGGAATTTCTCATTTCAATGCTTCACTATGCAACCACCAAGCTATTTTTGAGGCATCCCAGGGACACGTGTTTCTCATCTCTTATTGATGCTATGTTACCATCAACAAACCATAGCCTTTCACACTCCATGTCGCCTCAAAGAATTCTGAAAAGGCCTGCTTTTCATCGTAACTACCCTCCAAACACCACAATCTCCCCCATGTCCTCTCATATCCATTACCCATTCGCACCGGCCCACACCCATCTGCACCACGCTGCACCGCACTGCACAGGCGACTCCAGCAGCAAGTACACGGTGGTGTTGGAGGGGCTCACGTGTGCAGACATCCACCCCGTGTACGGCCTCTCTCTCGCCCAGCTGCAAGCCCAGAACCCGGTGAGCCACAGCTGGCAGTTACTAGCTCAGAATCCAGTGAGGCCTCTCTTTCCTGCCGCGTGTGGACAAAGCCCTTTCAGATTGGCTTGCTGCTTTGAACGTGCTGCTAGCAGCAGTTCTAATCTCTGAAAACCCATGAGGCCAGTTCCACGACACCCATGAGCATGGAAGGCCTCTCCGTGCTTCCTGCTTTCCTGCTTCTTCTTCAGCTTCCGTGCGGCATCCCTGCTAAGCCTCTGCTTTCCCGCTTCTTCACGTTTTAAAGTAGACACTTCTTGAATTGTGGCCGTCTGAACTTAGCCCACCCACCACACCCACCACGTCTTGCTGTCCTCTTTTCTCCCCCACATTCCCTGCCCCCCTCACCAACAGACCCTGAGATGCGCCACACTCTTTTTCATGAGTCTCATGAGTCTCTCCCAACCCCTTCTTCCCCACCTTCTTCCCCCCCTCCCGCCGCTTGCCCACCAGGGTTTGAGCTGCAGCGCTCCTCTTGTCGGCACGGTGGTGAACGTGGTCCAGCCAGCCGACCTCACACCCTGCTCCGTCTACTACACCACGTCCCAGGTCCCCCCCCCCCCCTCTCTCCCTGTCTGCCTACTTTCCTCCATCCGTCCCTCCCTCCCTCCCTCCTGCTCTCCGTCCCTCCCTCCCTACCTCCCTCTTTCCGATTTTCCTACACTGTCTCCTTATCCACCAGACTCCCTGCATAATCCGCTTTTGAGTCAACTCAAAAGCCTACACTGTCTCCTTATCCACCAAACTCCCGGCGTAATCCCAGCCCTCACATCCGTGCTTCGCCTTCCCGTGTTCCCCTCTCACCCTACCTTCCCCCTGTCCCCTGCTCTCTCGTCTCCTCTCATCATTTCCTCACCTCCCCTTCTCATCCTCCCCTCCCCTTCCCCCCCTCCCGACCCCTTGCTCCTATCCCCCCAGGGTGACACATGTGAGTCGCTAGCCACCTACTTCTCTCTCACCGCTGGCTGCCCAACTCCCACCGAGCCCTTCGCAGAGGCCTTCCAGGCGCTCAACCCCGGGCTGGACTGCTCCGGCAGCGGGGAGCTGCTGCCCAGCCAGGCGGTGTGTGTGGAGCGGCGGGCGGAGAGTGCAGCGGCGCTGCTCATCCCGGTGTGCTCGCAGTTCTATCTGGTGCAGGCCGGGGAGACGTGCGACCAGATCCGCTCCGTGCCCTCCCCGCCGCTCTCCCCTCTCGAGTTCTTCCGCCTCAACCCCGGCATCAAGTGCAGCCGCCTCGTGCCCAAGACTGACGTCCGCAGCCTCACAGGCTTCGAGGTCTCCCTCTGCTTTCCTCTTCGTCCACACCCCCTGCATTCTCTCCTCCCTTTCTTCACCCTCTCCCCACTCGTCCGTGCCCTCTCCTCTTGCCTCTCATTTTCTGACATCCTGCTGATTAACCCTATAGTTCCCACCCAGCTTCACCCGCCTTCCATCTAATGAATGCTATAGTTCCCTATAGCATTCATTAATTAGCTTGCCCCGCTGTTGTTACTGTCGACGCCTCCAGTTCACACCTGCAGATCACACTGCAAAACAAACCCGCAGTCCGCACCTGCAGTTCACCCCTGATTCTCTCATCCTCTCTTCCCTCTTCCCTCCACCCTCCTCCCCCTTCCCCCCACGCCCACTCAACTGCACGGCAAGTGCAGGCGTGCATAGGCAGCTCGTTCAGCTGCATGCAAGGAGTGTGCCCCAAGACTCGTGCGTACGTGGTTGGGACTGGCGACCGCTGCACTGGCCTGCAGGTCAAGTACTTCCGTGGAATCAAAGGGTGCTACAGGAAGTCCAACGGGTACGATTGCATCGATAAGCTCGTCAAAGCCACCAGAGTGTGCATTCCGGACCAAGTGAAGATCAAGGCCGGGAAATGCGATCCTTGACTCATGATCTCCTGGTCGTAAGATCAGGGAGGGCTCTGATTATCAAGGTGGATTTTAATTGTCAACCTTCTGGGCCTTGAACTGTCAGGGTAATAATTGAAGACACACTTTTGGCTTAGTGCAACAATTTTCTTCGTACGTTTTACCCTCGACAGTGTACAAGACCTCCCCATCCCCCACCACCCCCTTCCCTCCCCTCCGCCCCCCTCCCTCTCCCCCATGCCATACGGAGCATGATTCCTGAAAAAATCGCAAGGAAATGCGTTGGCAGAATTCTTCTGTGACTGGTTTGTTTTATAGCTTCTACCTCATCACCTCGCCTCGCGTGAAGTCACGAATGTGTGTTGTGTTTTGTTGCCAGCACATACTCTAGTGCTTGTATACTTGGCCAGTGTTGGGCTGAAAAAGCCCTTAGGATCTTTCAAGGCTAAGACTCTGATAAGAATGTTGTATAGCGGAAGCGTTGTAATAAGGAACTTTGAACCACCTTGCGCTAGTGTGTGAGAGCAAGATAGATTAACTATAAAGAAGTAATACAAGCTTTTATAAGATTACAAGGAATATGAAAGGATGCAATAACCGTTTTGCTGTTGCTGTTGCGGTTCGATACAGTGACAACTCGGGCAACTGCTCTGTATCGTGTCAGTTGTTTGTCCTTGCTGTCGCGCTGTATTTGTCGAGTCAAAGGTCGCTGACCTTTGACCTCGCGTAACCTCCGGCTGTTACTTTTCTGTCAACCTCCTTGGTTGACTCGCCATTGCTTCGCTGTAGCTTGTCTCGTTTACGGTTCGATGTTACGACACATAGGAAGCGTTAAATTACTTGTTTCCAACACTCCCCTTCGCTTCTGGAGTGTCGTTGCTGGTGACGTGGCCTTGTCCAGTCAGCAGCATGCAGTACTCGAATTTATGCTTTCCGAGCTTTTTGGTCAAATAATCGGCTGCCATCTCGGACGTGGGGCAGTAGGATAGCTCGAGTCTCCCCTTCTCGATCTCGTCTTTCACGAAGAAGTATCGCAGGGCGATATGCTTCATCCGGTTTGCGAACCCGTTTTTGTTCGCTATACGAATTGCAGATCGGTTGTCGCAGAACAGAGAGAAGCTGGGTAACTGGGCCAGCTTCGCTTCTTCCAGCAGTTCGCGAAGGTACAGTCCTTCCTTGGTGGCTGAGCAGAGTGCAATATATTCTGCTTCAGCTGAGGAGAGGGCGATTAGTTCCTGTTTGCTCGACTGCCACGAGATAGGCCCGATAGGCTCGAGTCGGTAGATGTAGCCTGTGCGTGAACGCCTGTTGTTGAAGTCGCCGGCATGGTCGGCATCCACGTAGCCGATTAGCTTGGGCGTCGTGGTTTCGGTTTTGTGGTAGGTCAGGCCGATTGTCGAGGTGCTGACGAGGTAGTGAAGTGCGCGGTCGAGCTCCGCCATGTGTTCTGCTTCAGGCTTCTTGAGGTAGGTAGCGAGTTGGCTCGCTGAGTATGATAGGTCCGGCCAGCAGGTGACGGCTGCGAAGAGCAGGCATCCCAGCTTTCGTTGATAATCGCGTATGCTGGCGGGTTTGAGCGGAGCTGTTGTTTCCTTGTGATTTCCGGCGGTGTAGCGGTATGGCGTGTTAAAACTAGAAACAAGAAGTGATTGCATTAGCAGGAAGTTGGGTACAAGTAGTGAAACCCTAAAGTGTTGTACCCCATATTGACTACCCCACTACAGCCTAAACAAGCTATAGCATATATGTTTGACACACCCCCATAGGCAAAGTGGGGGAGAACAAGAGGTCACAAGACCAGTCAAGAAAAGCAAAGCAAGCTCAGGGTGGATCTCAAGGACTCCACACAAATTCCGAGCACAAGCAAACGGCCACAAGACCAGTTCACATCCAGTTTGATAATACAACAAGCAGTACAGTCATCAGAACCTAGCAAGTGTAAACATGCAGGTATACATATATAAGGATCACAGTACAAGCAAAGTCAAGAAGTAAGCAAGTGAGGCACAAGGCCTAGAATAGTACAGAAACGCTGATGATCACAAGGCTGAAGTGCCTTGGTGAAGACATCAGCAGTGTTGGCCCGAGTGGCCAAGTACGCAAGACGAAGCTGACCACGCTGCTGCAACTCTCGAGCAAGGAAGTAGCGCAGAGCAATGTGCATCGTTCTGTGCTCCAGTCTGTGCTCCTAACACAAGGCAATCATGGCCTTGTTGTCAACGTACAGCACTAGAGGAGAACGAGGCGGCTCTCCCAGGTCGGTCAGCAGGTAGGTGAGCCAGCGTAACTCCTGTGCAGCCATGGCCCCTGCGTAGATCTCAGCCTCACAACTGGAGCTGAGAACTGAAGACGAGCGGGTAGACCGCCACGAGCGTTCCACTCACGGAGCTGCTGGGGAGAGGGAAGCTCCCTCGCGGAGGACCGCCTCAGCGAGGCACCTCGAGGCTCCGTACGCGCAGTCTCAGCACTCCCAGGCTCCGCTGCCGCAGGCCCAGCACTCCTAGGGGCAGTACCAACAGCACCACTCCGAAGGCAGGAGCGCCAGGAGTACCACTCGCGCAGCTGCAGTGGAGTGAGCTCCCTGCGTGAACGAACACCCGCAGAAGCACCAACTCTAGGCTCAGCACCCCCAGGCTCCGCACTCGCAAGCTCAGCACCCCCAGACTCCTCACCCGCAGGCTCCGCACCCCCAGGCTCAGCACCCCCAGACTCAGCACCCCTAGGCTCAGCACCCCCAGGCCCCCCACCCGCAGGCTCAGCACTCCCGGGCGCAGCACCCCTAGCAGGACCAGAGTCGACAGCTACCTCGACAGGCTCGACCGGGTCTACCTGAGACACACCTGAAGGAGCAGGACCCTGAGGGGGGAGGGGGTCTACCGGAGGAGGACCTGGTACAAGGAAGAGGGGCGGGGGAGGGAGCGGGGCTGTGCGGTAGGGGAAGAGACGGTAAAAGGGAACAGACTCGTCAAAGGTGACGTCCTCAGAGGGCAGGACATGGCGCGAGGTGGGGTGGTAAAACTGCCAGCCAGGCGCGTCCGGAGGAAAGCCAAGGAAGACACAGGGAACAGCGCGGGCGGAGAGCTTGTCCGCGGACGTATCGCGGACAAAGGCACGAGATCCCCAGACCCGGAACACTGACGCATCACCAACCTCTCCCGTCCAACGCAGTGTCGGCGAAGTCTCCGGAACGGAGACACGGGGCTAGAGGTTGAGCTGATGCGCAGCGTATCGGACCGCAAACGGCCACAGAAAGTGGGGGGCAGCCGCATGGATCAAGGAGGTACGAGCGACCTCCATGACCAAGCCAATGCGGCGCTCAGCAACCCCATTCTGCTGTAGAGAGGCCGGAAGCGTGAACGACTGCTCAATGCCCTCCCCATGACAAAAGTCCCTCAAGAGGTCGGAGGAAAACTCCCCACCTCTGTCAGAGTGCAGACGCAGGATAGGAAAGTCCGAGTGGAACCTCTCGCTGAGCTGGAGACGGGCAGCGCGGATCCAAGGGATCAAAACATGAGGGACTTCACCCTTGGTGCGCAAGGGGAAGACCGTGGTGTAGCGCGAGTAGTCGTCAACAACTATCAAGAAGTACCTCTCGTGACCCTGTCCACGGACGCGGGCTGGGCCCCACACGTCCATGTGGAGGGTCTGCAGGGGAGCAGTCGTCGGGGGAAACGAGGAGGAGTGAGGAGCGGCGCGCTGCCACCCCTCGACACAGGGAAGACAGGGAGGAGCAGGCGAGGGTGGGAGGGGAGGGAGTACCGTGGGAAGACCAGAGACAAGGACACGGCGGTGCATGCCACGAAGGCGCTGCACCGAGGGGTGCCCAAGGCGGTGGTGCCAAAGGACGGTCTCGTGCGACAAAGCGCGACACGAGCAGGGGGCCGAGAGCTGACCTGACGCTGACACAGACGCAGCGACCTGACGCAACTGACCGGACGCAGACGCAGCAACCTGAGGAGACTCAGTGGTCAGTGTGTACAGGTTCGACCCTGGCCGACGAGTGAACGTGGCCAGGTGACGACCCGTCCGCGCACACGTACAGTGGGTCACACGCTGCCCTCCAGGAGTCCACTGGGAAACCCACTCATCCTGGAGGACACCGCCACTCACCAAGTTCGTAGAGAACGAGGGGAGGTGGAGACCCGACAGTGAGCCAGACGGAACCGCCGGACACGGGAGGACAGTGGAGGAACTCGCAAGGACCGGGCCCCCAGAGGGGTCAGCTAGGGAGACAGCAACAGGCCGGGGGAGCGGTGTGAGGGCAGTACGGTCGCGAAAGAAACAGCAGGAAGCACCTGAGTCAAGAACGAAGGTGTGCAGGGCCTCAGCAGGCGCAGTACAAGACAGCGCAGACTCACTAGCACCTGGAGCAGCAGACTCACTAGCACCTAGAGCAGCAGCCTCACTAGCACCTGGGGCAGCCGACTCAATAGCACCTAGAGCAGCAGCCTCACTGGGCTCAATGCCCGGGTCGGGCGGAACACACAGGTAACAGTCATCCTCAACACTAACTGTTAATGCATACATGGCACCAATGATAGTATGAAAGTCCAGAGCAAAGATATCAATGTTGCT